GATAATCCCGCCCTGAAGCACACTCTGCTTTATGGTCTATTTTCCTCTAAATGGGACCATAATTTACTAAATGAACATCATGCTGTGTTGAAGAAGACTTGAAACTAGCGACTGAGACCATAAACTCATCAGGAAAGTGTTTACTGAGGGAATTATTCGGGTGAGAAGTAGGGTCATTTTGCCATTATTTCTAATGGAGCCGGACTTCTTTTTGTAACCAGAGGAGTCGCCCCCTGCTGGCTGTTCAATAGAATGCAAATTTAAGGGACTTCTGCGGTCGCATCAGGTTTCTGACTGGAAGCTTCCCGCTTGATTGCAATATTTATATATTTGCACTTACTGGGTGTCTGTGACATTTTCAGAAAAAAATGCTGTATTAAATAACTGCTAACCCTAACTGAACATTTCATACAGCTGCAGCTTCAAATTAAACACATTTAACCGGTGAATCATGAGTTGACTTTATGATAAAATAAAAATGCAATGTGTTTATCAGTGAGATTACCACTGACCGCTATCATAAATCATAAATGCGTCTACAAAACAAGACGACGGTCATTTTCAATTATCTTTTGACAGCGGATCTGTTTGAAATGTTGCAGGGAGTAATGGAACAAGAAGGAGCAGCAGCAGTGAGCTGCACGACTCCAACTCCTTTTACTCTGCCCTGCTGTTCACAGACTTGAGCAGTGAGCAGAATAAAATCAGATCACGGTTTCTCCCAGAATAATGGAAAAAAGGCCAATTACTGCCTGACTTCTTCACTGAAACGAAAAGAGTTTGTTTTGTTGCCCCCAGAATTCTGTGACCTGCACTATCAAACCGTATTTTCTGTTACCACCAGTAACTAAAGATGTCGTCAAATAAACTAGTACTGAAATCTTACAACTTTCAGTTAAAGTACTAGCATCAAAATACACTTAAAGAACCAAAAGTAAAAGTACTCATTATGCAGAATGGCCCAGTTAAGAATACTATAAATAATATTACTGGATTATTATTATTATCATAAAAAGTGTGTAATTAATGCTGAAGCTGGTAAAGGAGGAGCTAATTTATTGTCTTCATATACTGCTGGGTAGCTTAGCTTATAATAATACATCAATTAGTTGATTTACATTTTGAATTCAGAAGGTAAATGTGCAAAGTGACTAAATATACTATTTTAATTAAATGTGTTGCAGGAAAATGTCCAACATTTGCCTCCAAAATGCAGAGGAGCAGAAGTATAAAGTAGTAAAATAATAAAATAAAAATAATCAAGTAAAGTACCTCGAAATTGTACCTAAGTACAGAACTTGAGTCATGTAGGCTGCTTGTAGGCAAATGTTTTCATCTATCTTGCCTTCATCAGGGTGGTGCATTGATCTGTAATCGATATATCACCATAGATACCATGTCTACAAAACTTGTCATATTTTTCTTCAAAAAATAATTCAGTCATTAGTTTATTCAAAAACTATAAGAACAATAAGAACTTTTCACTTTTCATTATTAAATTCTATATTTTTTCAACCTAATTATTCAGATAATTTCTTAAAACTTATTTAAATCACCTTAATTACTTAACGTTTACTAATACCCCTAACAAATGTCAAAGTCCATCTACATTTGAACTTAACACATCCATCCAAGAAGAAACTATTATGTCAAAAGAACAACATGGAAATCGAGCTGTAGTTACAGCACCAGGGAGCAATTAGAGATAGTTAAATGTTCTCTACCTCCCCACAACTAATTAAGTGTATCTGGTGCAAGACTAAACCCGATCAGACAAAGACTGCCTGATCTCTGTGGCAGGTTTCTGTTACTTGACCTTGTAGGAAATGAGACAAAGAGACAAAGGGGCGACCGACAGCAAGAGAGAGCGAGTGTCTTTATCGAGTCTCATCTGACCCACTTTAAGACGCCGAAATGTGAAAACACACACCGAACCCTGGTGGCAACTAATTTACAGTGATGAACATCTGGGTTTTCTCCCTCCACTAAAATTATCAAAACAACAACAAAACATAACATGGGAGTTATATAATAACTAGATTTGATTGTGTTTTCATCCAACACAACTCCGTACTGTATATTGATGATTAAACATGGGAACTTAGTATATGAGATCAGCCATGCACCTGCTAACAAAGTGTACTGAGCCGATCAATACGTCAGCATGATTCTCGTTTAACCAGAAACAGTTAATATATTGACACCAGACTCCAAAGACTAAAATTCAGATTTTATCTCTCTGGTCTACTACAAAGCCTGAATCGACTGTTTACCTTTAACTCAACCAAAACAATAACATTAAGGTCAGTTTAGCATTTAAAATCCTGCATCAGAGGAACCTGCTTGAGAAATTAATTTTTAAACGAAATAACTGAGCCAAGCTGCTGCTGCTCAACTGACTTATAAGTGACTGTGTGTTAATAAGTGAACAAGTGATCAGCAGTCGTCTGTGGACTCACTGATGAGATGTTTCCCCTTGAGAAGTCCGTTTTTTAATCTAAAGTTATTTTTGTCCTTTTGTGAAGGTTGCTGACATTCAGATTGAGTAATGGGCTTTCTGAGTGGCAATCAACAGCGGAAATGCATTTTAAATGAGCAGAAACATCAGCCCATGCACTTAATATGCACACTCACTTAAACTCCATCAGCACTACTGATGGGAAACACAAAGCTCATTGTTCAGGCTTATCGTCTGTAAACTTAAAAGTTAAAAGGCTAAATGAACGAGTGCAGAGAAAGAAGATGGTTTGCGTCTGTGTCAGAGTCGATCTTGAGTTATTATTTCATATTTTCATAAAGGGTAACTGAAAAATCTTTCAACCTGGACCCTATTTCCCATCTTTTTGTGTCTATATGACTAATGGGGATAACATTTTTTTTTGTGTTTTTGTCAGAATTGAGCGAGCACAACTGTCCTGCAACACAATCTTTATGGGCAATTGCGCCCCATCTAAGTACATCCACTAAGCGTTTGTTTTTTTCCACTGACAGGCTCAGATTGTTATTATAAGTGTCTGACAACATTAAAAAGGAAATGATCTCTCCAGAGCCCTTTTGTGTAACTAACCAGAAACAGGTGCTATACTGATCTGTTAACAGCCACCAGACTCCATTCACAAAAACAGCACCTCTGTGGTGGAACTACTTTGATCGGTTAGTTTATTTGTGTTATTGTGTTATTGTGTTATTGCCTGGTTGCAAACGAGCAAGTGACTTTGTAATGACCTTTTTGGGTCTGTTCTTAATTTAAATGTCTTATTTTGTAACAGCTGAAGCCCAAATTTTCATCCCGTGTTTTTTCTGTTATTCATTAGCAAGTGCATTAGTGAAAGCTAATAATAATTCTGATTGTGATCTTGAACCAAAAGGTCTTGAGCTCAAACCAACCCTTTCCTGCCATTTAAACAGTGTTCAGTTCAGTTTACAAGGTTGTTCTCTCTAAGGGGGACTCACTTGAACATCTTAACAATGATAAAATTAACAATACATTTTAAATATAAATACAAAACAACGGCAGATAAATAACACTGCACTCAGGCAGGAATTCACAAATGAAGGGAAATGTAGAATGTAGTTATGCTGCATCTATCTATCTAATATTGTCTTGATTCAGTTGCTTTAAAGACATTGACACAGCGACCATCACAATGTCTTGCTGGAGCCCTTTGTTTTTATGTATTAAAAGTCATTAAAAGTCATAAAGTCAACAGTCTGTGGCAGTAATGTCAATTAAAGCTGTGATGTCTAACGGTTGCTAACTGAAGCTAGCTAGCAATAACATTAGCCCTCTTCAGCTCACAGTCACACCACAATAAACTCAGGGTGTAGCAGCAAAACACCTGAGTTTACTGCGCTGAGGAAGGGTGTGTTGTGCTGGTTTTGAACTCAACTGTTCATTTTTGTAAGGACGATTGTGTTTTTCTTCTCTGCCTCTCTTTAAAGTTGAATCTTGGACATCTTATGTTGAAATGGCCGCAGTGTAATGCCTTTAAAATCACATTTAAAGGACAAACAAGTAAAGAAAAGGAGGAAGTAGAAGATAAAGATGATTACAATTTTTTTTTATAAACCTTTTAAAAGTGAATGAAGGTTTTAAAAAAAAGCAGTCGTTTGAATATTTAAAACCTTCAGAGTCTCATTTCCTATAAGACCATGTCAGGAGGTCAACACACAAGGAAAAAGAAGTGGACACTGGGAGGTTTACTTTAGACCCAACTGGCCCGTCTACATACCGACTGCATTCCAGCTGCTGGGCTGCGTTTCTGAACCCTGCTTGTTTACGTCATTCAAACAAGGTGGTCCAGACTGCATTGCAGAAAATGTTATCTACAAAAGTTGATGCCACCATGATAATCATTCAAATGAGTTTCCCTAAAAGCCCATGAGGTCAGTGAGTCCAAACGGGAGCGTGCAGCAAAGCCAGATGACTTCATGTTATAATGTTGCTTGTTTGGTTTGACCATCAGTCCCAAAACCCAAAGATTTTACGTTTACAGTGATATGAATCAGAAATAAACAGCTAATTTTACATTTAGGAAGCTGAAACCAGTGTTGCCACCAACAAAAGTCTAGAAAAAAATCACTAAAATGTACTTTTGTAGTCATAAAAATTCATAAAAACCCAACATGTGTAATATGTGTTTACAGTGTGTAACTCTTCTTCATTTTTTTTACTTCTTTGTCCTCTATTCCAACGCCCTCTGCTGAGGTTAGGCTCAGCAGAGGGTCAATTTTATGGTTAATGGTAAAAAGTTTTATATGCTTATTGATTACAGATTTATTGTAGAAAATATTAATATTGCACTGGCTTTCTGTAGGGGGGTCTAAAGAGGAATATAAAGGTAAACACTGAATCTTTGTTTATATCTGGTATTAAAATCGTTAAATTTAAAGTGTCCTGACAACGTTTGACACCCAAATTAGTTTGAAACTTCCTCTCAAGAGGCTCCTCATCTTGGGAGCCCCCCCCCCCCTTCCCTACTCATCATCTGCAGACTCACCTGCACAGGTGAGACCATGATAGAAGATGTATTGGCAGCACACGTCACACCATGTGTTATTGCCTCCGGGCTCGAACGTGTGTCCCTCCCCGGACTCATCTTTCACCCTGGGGTCCTTCTCTCCTGGGGAGAAGATGGTTCTCACATCGGGGGGTCTGAACCCTTTCTTCCTGTTCCGTGGTGGACCTCCTTCAATCCCGTTCCCGGCGGCTTCGGGGCTCGGTAAACTCTCCGGTGGCTTCACCTCCGACTGCCCTCTGTCGCTCCAAGACGCCTCCAGCTCCTCCAGGCTGGCCGGTTGAGGAGACGCATTCCGCCGGACTCTCACCACCGCGCCCTTGTTGCCCTTTGAGATCCGCATCTTGGCACTCGGTGGCCAGGTCGCCTCTGGGGCTTCCTTCAGTGTACAGGAGGGTTTGTTGATCTGAACACACCGCGCGGTTACTGGACAGTCATCTGTGACCGAGGAGCGCGTAGGGACGTATTTCCGACCCTGATGCGCGACGTTAAACATCACGCACACTCCTCACACTCCGCTGCGTTACAGATCGGTAGAGGTGTATGAAACAGTGAAAGACAGGTGAGACGTGTCCTTTTGGTGCGCGTGTTCGTTGTCGGTAAACAGTTCGAGGCAATCCAAAGTGTGCAGGTGGACCGGTTGGATCACATTTCACTGGGAGACAAACAGCAGGCTGACCCGATACCTTCCAGGAAGTCTTTCAGGCCAAACTCCGTTAAAATAAACGCCAATTTAAAGATCATGTCATTGACAGGGGTCGTAATCACTTTCACACTCGATTTAAATAACTCGATGAATTAAAGATATTGTTCTATTTAATTCGGCATAAATCGAATTCATTACAAGCATACACATAATAAAAAATACAACTTATATTTGGGTTGTTTTTTTTCTTCCTGTGCAAAATTATGGATGACATTAATTCCTCTGAACTGTAAACCAAATCTTAAAGTGGAAATTAGTTCCTTATTTATATGCTGAATTTATAAAAAAAATTCATATAACAACTTGTCTATCGGAGAAGCAAAGCAATTAGAAAGTCAAACACTACTACAAATACTAGCCTATAAAGTTGATATTTTAATGGAGATTTAAACAGCTGCAATTGCCTGTCCCTTCTTTGACCACCCTGAGGTGCTGTTTTCCACTTCAACAAAATCAAGTCTCCTTAGTTAAAAGAAAATAAGGCATGCGTACATTATAATAAAGTAAATTGCCTTTAATGTCATTTTATAACATGCACCCTACACAGAGAGGCAATTTTAACAATCAGTTATATCGTGGGACAATCTTATATTTGTTTCCCAACATACTTGGCCAAAATTTACCCATAACCTTGTACCTAAGAATAATGTAATACTTATCGGTCAATGAAATTCTGTTTATATTGTGATACACTGATTCATTGTTCACTTGACCACTTTTCTTTATTTCTCTCTGCTGCAGTGACAAAATATAAAACAATACATCACTGGAGCAAGGACCACATGACGTGAACTCATGTGAGACATTAAATACATCTTATTTTTTAGTCACACACTCATTAATGTGTAGCAAAATGAAGAAATTCATATGGTACACAAGATTTCTTTGGCAAAGTTAGCATGGTTAGAAAAGGTGTTTTTTTTTTTGTTTTTTTTTTAAACAGATGCATAAAACACCACCAGCAACAATTAAAGACGTATCCCTCAGAAACGCTCAAGCTAAATATTGTTCATTTTCGTGAAAAAGTGCAAGTGCTTAAAAATGTCATGTGAAAATTGTCTACCAAAAATACAGCACAAATACTGCAGATTTAAAAAATGTCTACATCTACCCAACATCTCCCTGAGAAAACAAGAAAACTAAAAGTTATAATATTTACAAAACAACATTAACTGCATAAAAATAAAAAAAAAACGTTATAAATGGCACAAAATCTGCAGTACAGAAGACCTGATTTAGTATTTTTCTAATGCATGCAGCTGCAAGATATGGTAATGCTCACCGATCTGGGTTTTATAATCAAAATAAAACATTAAGATCTGTGTTAACAAGAGCACCCAAAACACTAATAATAATAATGACTTCTAAGACGAGATGCTACGACAATGGAGGGATCCTAAAGCTCTCCTCTTCAAGTCAAACTGCAGGAACGGTTCACGTAGTTAGGAGTCCATGATGGGGACAGTGTCAGGTTTCCCCTTCAGGGGGCGCTGTTGAGCTGTAAAAACTTCTGTTCACTGGCTGTCGTCCTCATCTTCACTGTAAAAGGCTTCCTCCTGTAAAAAAAAGACATTAAGATTCATTTACTAAAAGGCTCTTCAAACAAAACATTTCAAGAAGATATAAACGAGCTGTGTTTTATTTATTTATTTATTTTTTACGTACATATCCGCCCTGCTGCTGTACCCAGGATGAATAATTCTCCTGCAGATATCTAGCTCCATGGCCAAGCATTCGGTTCACGGGCAGCGTGTCCACCGCTGAGAGACGACTGGTGACCTGCCGGGAAACAGAAACATGTTCAGCCACACGAGACACTGTAAAAAGGAAAATTATTCACTTTAGCTGGAATCAGACTGCAGGATGTTCTTTTAAAAAGATGCTCATTTTGTCTGATCAGGGGATTATAAAAGAGCGACGCGGCAGACTACAAGTTGGATCCTGCCTAATATTTGCATGACTTGAAAACCTGAACATCCGTAGGTAGGTGTGTCAGGTACCAGGGACTGCCTTCACTGTTGCATTGAATATTTACTCGTGGAGTATCCGGAATAATGCTGCTGACTAGGAGAGGACAGTTAGTTACAAGAGCTCCCACAGTTCTGGTCTGTTCTCATCTACTCGTGTCTCTGCACTGAATCTCACTTTGCATCAGTGGTGTATGTTTATTTAGTCAAGGGCTTTACTCAAACTTTGTGTTTTATGCTACTTGATACAGAGAAATATTGTACTTTTAATCCACCACATTTGATTAACAGTTAAAAATAAGTAACAGTTACTATTCAAATTATTTTATAAAAAAATGCCAAACAGATAATAAGCTTATAAAATACAACTGAATTATAAAAAAATAAAACATTAAACCTCACATTGTTTTATAATAACCGTTTGAGATCTACTCAGGCAAAACTATATATTTGATAAGTCAGTTTAAAGTGTTACCACACAGCTGTGGTTTTCTCTTTGATGTGAACAGGAGCGTTTTGATCACTCTTGTAAGAAGAAGCCAGACGTGTGAAAAAAAAAAAAAAGAAAAGAATATTCAAATCCAAAATTTGAAAACCGAATACCTACCCAACGAACGAATATTCGGATGCAGCCCTTTTTATTTCTGTTTATCTGATAAAACTCCTGTACTTTTACTTTAGTAGGATTTTGGATGCAGGACTTTTACATTGTGGTACTGGTACTTTTACTTAAGTAAATGATTCAAGTACTTCTTCCGCCACTGCTTTGAATACAGTCTGAACAAACCTTTAATCTTTGTGGCAGTTTGTGGGAGTTATTGTTCTAGAAATGAAACTTGTTTCATACCAAAATAAATTACGTATTTTGTTTCTCTGTGTATTTAAAGACCACACACACACACACGTTTTATAACACCATAATATTTTCCTCACCTCACAGGTCACGGCAATCTGGGTTTTGGGTGATGCTTGTGGCCCCAGACTCTCGGGGTGAGGGTTCAGGAGTCCCATCCTCTCGAGAAGGGTTCTTATTACCATCTTATAGAAACTGTAGTTCCAAAAAATCTCACTGGCTCTAAGGGACTTGTTGAGCTCCTGGTGGAGACAAGAAACATTTTCTGTTTAGTGTTTTGTCACTGATAACAAACAAAAACAGATTTAATTAACACTGGGGACATAATCCTGCGTTCAGGGTCACGGGGGGCTGGAGCCTATCCCAGCTGACATTGGGCAAAAGGCGGGGTACACCTGGACAGGCTGCCAGTCCATCGCAGACTGGAACTAAACTATAATTTTAAATGAGCTTGATGTCCCTTTCACACACAAAACGTTTTAGAGCAGAAATGTGGCCAAATTTTGAATTAAATCCACTATTCAAAAGGTCTTAAAAATCCAGTAGCTGATACGTGCTTTTCTCAAATGTTTAATCCGCAGTGAAAAGACATCCAGATATTTGCCATGAACTCAAAGAATTTCCTCAAAACATGATCCAAAAAGTTAAACAAGGAAGTTAGATATTTAGGCAGGTCTCCACGTCAGAGGAAAAGTCGTTTCTTACCTCCTGGTTCAGTTTGTCTCCAGCGTCCCTCAGCAGCAGGCCGATCACCTTCTCCACATCAGCTTGTGACTCTGGAACTAGAAAACACAGAATTATCAATCCACATCCAAAATACAAGAAAACCACAGGGAGTATAGGTTTAAAAACAATGTACCATAAGTATGGTTGGGCCGATAGACGATGCCATCGTGATTGTAAACGCTTTGCTTTAGCATGGTGTTACTTGCTTTCTTATTTTGAGTCCCCTAATATTACAACTGACACTGCAGTGGGAAATTCTTCTTTTTTACTCGTGTGACATTTCTGTGGATAAAACCTGCCCACAAACAGAGCAGAACAGGTGGCCTTATCTTGCAGTTCGGAGGTATTAATCAGGTTGAAAAAAAAAAAAAAAAAAACAAAAAAAGAGTTTGTGCGGTTAAGAGATTTTTCTGAATCACACCGGAAACACTAACACGATCAGGTCTCAAAGAGAAAAGTAAGAGGTCTAGGAGAGGAGGTTTATTGTTGCATAAAGCCCAATACATCTCAGTGACACATTGAAAAATGTGTTACAGTGGAACTCGCAGTTGAATTCGAACCCAAAACTCACCTTCATGGTCACTCTCTATCTCTGGACGGATGAACGGGACTTCATCAGCAATCTCCGTCAGTCTGCTTGCTACCTCTTCAAACTGATCCTTTTCTTCTGTTTTTACTACTTCTTTATCTGAAAGCAATAATGAGCACAAGTTGAAAAACGTCTTGAAAATTATCTTGAAAAATAATTCACATGCTGACAAATCTGTTATGTCAAAGTGAAAGCAGCACCTGCAGACCTGACTCAGTCTGCTGGTGGAATAAACAAACAGGAAGAGCACTGTGGCTTCACGTCCTCAATGACACAATAAAAAAAAAAAAACCTAGAGATAGATTTGCATATTGGCTAAGCTACGAAAACATGACTACGCAGTTTTTAGTGACGTTCTGGGAGATCACAGAAGAGACTGATGAAAGAGGGACTTTTGGTAAAAAAACTCTATAGAATAGATTATTGATTAAACTGCATATCGTTTCCTCAATTAAATTAATCATTTACAAAACAGTGAAAAAATGCACGCTATAATTTTCCCCACACGTCTGGTTTTCTTAAGAAATGACAAATGATTTCTTTAAATGGTTGCTGATGAAATCGCTGCAGCTCTAAAACATAAGTAAGACTTTCTTCTGGCTGCTTCAGTCATAACAGACTGAACTGGAAAGACTGGAAATATTCAAGCAGGAAGCTACTGAAGGAAACAAAGACAAAATCATTTTAAAAGTAACAGGTTGTTGCAATTTGTCACGAGGTTGTCTTTATATTGGATCTTTTAAATTACACAGTTTTATGCCAAAAATGGGCCACAAATCTTAAATTAAATATCCTCTTTAGTCTTCTCAACCTCCAGAGTCCTGCACTTAATAGTAACAGTCACAGGAGTTTATCATTACCGTTTTGTGTTCATGTATATAAAATAATTACTTAAATACATACAGTACGTACAATATACATGCATAAAAGTATATTTATCATACATCAGCATTGATACTGAACACTTATAGTGCACAGTGTTCATGGCTGCTAGGGTTGCTCTACTTTATTTCTGATTTCATTCACACAAATATTTGTAGGGCTGTAACTAATGATTATTTTAATTTTTTCTGCTGATTATCTGTAAAATAAAGTCAGATATGGGGATCAATAAAGGCCCACAAACACACGACAGTCTTCATATTAGAGCTGCAACAATTAAGCAAGCAACAGAAAATTTATTCATATTTGTAATCGAATTTTGAGATATTTTGCTTCTCTCGTGATGATTTTATGCTTCATAAAATGATAGTTAACTGAATATCTTTGAGTTTTGGACAAAACCAAACTTCTGTTTGTGTGAAATTGTAAAGACCATTTTTATAGACAAAATAATGTTTCTGAATGATTATAATGTTTTTACCATACTGGTGATCTGAATGAACTGGGGTTATCTGTGTCTAAATACTCACTTGGTACAAATAATCTGTTGTCGTCATCATCATCAATAGGTGCGTTCACAGCAGTCTGGGGAGGTTTTTCGTCTACAGTCTGAGGTTTGATACAGCTCAAAATGCTTGGCAGACGTTTTTTCCATCCCTTCATCACCTTCTTCTTCTTCTTCTTCTTCTTCTTCTTCTCCTCCTCCTCCTCCTCACCCCCTTTTTCAGGTAAACGTGCTTCATTTGTATCTGTGCCACCGTTTAGTGTTATTGGACTGTCCTGTGTCGATAATGCAACGTCTTTTTTTGGCCGTCTCCTCGTTGCATAGGCCATCATAATTCTGAACTCCACCGTGCCGACCATGTCCTCTGTCTCTGAGGTACATGCAGGGTCATTGTTTGCGCCGCTGCAGATGGGGTCGTAGATTTCCACGTGACCGTTTTCCATGTTGGTTTACTGTTGATAAAAATAAGTTGTTAATTAAGAACGTGGTCTCTTGTAATCATTTGCAATCATTAACTGTCAGTTTCTTTGAGATATATATATATATATATATATATATATATATATATATATATATATATATCTCAATAAAAAGTTAGAATTAAGATTTTATTTTTTGAAGCAAGCCATAAGACTCTCATGGGACTTTTACCTGGTAAAACCTTCATGCGGTCTACTATTTAGCACTGAAACAATTAATCACTATCTATCAAAATCGATTAGTCAGCCCACAGGGAATTTGCTTCTCTGATATGAGGATCGGCAGATTGTTTGTTATTGTAAACTTAATATAATATAGTTCTGGGAAACTAAATCGAGGTGTATTTTTAATTTCCTGTAGACCTTTTCAGACTTTTCTAGATTTAGTAGTTAGATTCATCAAAACATATAGATTAATCACTTACACAAATTTATTGTTGGTTATGGTATGTTCACATCTTATTAAGATAAAATTGATTCATTCTTGTGTTAGTGTTCCCTCTAATCATTATTAACTTTATGACTTATATTGATTATATCTGACTGCAACTAACGCCAACTTGCATTATTGATTAATCTATTAATCGTTTGTTCTATAAATTGTAAGGAACTTTCCCCTAAACCAAAAAGGTCGCGTCTTACAATGATTTATAATAAGAAAAGCAAATCCTAAAATTTGAACAGCTAGAACAAGCGAATTTTATTTTTTGGCTTATACAAATTAATTATACAATTACTCAATTATCAAAATAGTCCCCAGTTTAATTTCTGTTGATTACTTAATTAATCCAGTCGATTAATTTATCTTCCACAGGTCTAACTGATGTGTTCACTAGATTGTTTTCATGTTGTACTGCCTTGATTCAATGCACACCCTAATATTTGTGAAATAAACACGTTTCATACAAGTTATTATTTGATCTCCTCGATATTTTTGTCTTTGTTTCCTGTTCATCTTAAGTCAATAACGGCACTTATATTTCCTGTCATAGTGTGTCGCCCTCTGGTGAAGAGTAATGGGAATAACAAAGCACATTTAGCTGCACTGGAAAGCTTTAAAAGTCTGTGTTCTGCCCGTTGAGCAGTCTTAACAAGTAAACGTATGTAAAGTTAACGTTACACTGTGGTTTAACTGCACTGTATCAGTTGTCAGGACTGTTATATTTATAGTATCTGTCTCTTGAAAAAACGAAACTTTACTTAAACGTGTCATTTTGTCATTAAGTCATTAACTTAACTGGTTAAATAAAGCTACTTAACTGCCAAAACAGCCAAAAACACACTTCACCCTACCTGTCAAATACTAACAAATGTACGTACAATATTTAAAAACATAAAAAAAGACAAGTACTTACGGTTCAAACGATTAAAAAGACGTGTAAGTTCCTAAAACATCCGCCGAATACACTTCCTCACTGCTTGCGCCGCCAACGTCTTCATCTTTATAAACCTGCCGCTCACGTCCTCTTGGGCGTGCAACGTCACGTTACGTAATGACGCAAGCTAAAGTTAAGCACGCCAGACTGTAAAACTAAGCAAACAATGTTTTTTAATGTTCTTCCCATAAACATTTTTACAAGTTATCTCCACCAAATTTATCACACAGTAAGAGGTCGGAATTTTTTGTGAGCAAGAAACTTCAAGATATTTGTGTTGGTCAAAAACAGAAATGAAACCTGCTTTTGTTTTGAATGACTGTTCAGTGATAACCGTGTTTAACATCAAAATACTTTTAATTTTGGCACTGAGAGAAAAAAAGGGGAACTGTGACAGTAAATAAACTGAAATAATAAAGACAAGGTTTACATTCTTACTGACATTTCACCAAAAACTCAACATCATTGAGGGCAACCTTAATGGAGTTTAAATAAATGTTTAAAATGAAATTAATTTTCAGTAATGATTATTAAACCATGGTTTGGGTCCGTAAAAAGGGAATCTACAATGTCTTCATTGTCTGAAATTGTAAGAAATAACGAACTGGGACGACAGACTTCTTTGTTTACTCCCAAATCATTACTGACATTACACATGTCTGACTCATAAAAGAAATATGCAATGCAGCAGAAATTTTAGCCCAAGTCAGCTGCCAGCTGACTCAGCAAGCATGTTACTCCTACAAAAACAAAATAAAAGGACAGACTCAAGACCTAACCTAAAAGACATTTTTGGTTGTCAGTCTGTTATGTTGTGTTGTCTGTAACTGTAAAACGTAGGATTAATCTATGGGCTCACCAAAAATTATATTTATCCACTTTCCTCAAATTGTGAATAATTATAATTACTGAATAATTTCCCACATGGCATGGTAGACATAATGCAACAAGTGACCAAGGGTTGCAAATAGATGTTGCTTCTTTTTAAGGCATCACCATAAAAAAAAATAGAAAGATGAAAATGCACTTTTTAAGTGAAAATTTTGATTTACTAGGTCAAAAATATGACCAAAATTCAAAATTATGAGATAAAAAGTTTTGACTTAGTATGTGTATTTCTTTTTATTTAAGACTAAAATTTTACTGGCGGGAATGGGCTTCCACACAAGTTATTAACTTATTTTAATCTAAATGCTGAAATGAGTGAGCCAATTTGTTCCAAGTTCCTCAGGTTTTACAACGCTTCTTAACCGTTCGGCTCTGTTTTTAAACATATTTTATCGTCATGATTATTCATTTTCAAAGTTTCCAGCTGCACCGATTTTGCCTGTTTCAAGTTTTTATAAAGTGGTATGAAACTTGTTTGGCAGACAAAGTCCAAAAACTACAAGTAGACCTTGTGACTCCCGCAGACAGGTAGGAAAATCCCAGCTGTGACTCAGTGAGCTTTTATTTGACTTTGCGACTCATGTTACAGTCAAGCTATTTTATTACACAGTAAAGTGGGTCACAGTTCAAAATCCTTTTGAGGCGGAATACTTAGCAGTAAGTTTTAATGAAACTTATAACGACAGAAAAACATGTACGGCGTTAAATGCAAGCTCATCCTTGCTCATATTCTGATCAGGTTGAACAAGAAGTTTACGACTGAGATATCCCAACAAGTAATGAAATGTTATGCAGGAGAAAGATGTGAGAGAGATTTCTACTGGCAGTGGTGACTCATACAGTAAGTGACCTTAAAAAAATATGGTTATCACGCAGGATCACTGCTTGTTGCAATACTTAGAAACGGCAGTCATTTTGATTATAAGATTACAAACACTAACATTACCTTACATATCCTGTAATAATGACTGATAAAGATTTACAGGAAATAAGTGTATCAGGCTGATTACTAAATTGTCAGATATTATTAAATACTTGAAAAAGTAATCTGTGCTGATGTAAATGATCCAGGCATCTTTCCAAACCTAATATCAACCTCTACTGCACATTTTACCATATTATTTCTATGAAAGTGTTTTTTTAATAACTTAACAAAGAGTCTAATATATTGATATTACAGTGCCAACGTCTTGTGGTAAAATGTTAAAAAGAATAGCTGTTTAAATAAAACAGGCTCTGGCGGAAGTAAGACAGACAATGTACTGGGAAATACTTCAAAATGTTAGTTCTCTTCATAATCTCAGTGATAACATGCTTGTCAGTGTATCTCCGTATCTTTTAGCCGCACCAGCAGCGTATCTTTAGGGAAGACAGTTTATCAGTTCATCACTTTGATCCAGACGGAAATATCTCAACCACTATTGGATGAATTATCATGAGAGTTTGTGTAAACATTTAAGATCCCCAGATGATGAATCCTTGTATCTTTAGAGATCCCCTGACATTTCCCTAGTGCCACCATGAGACTGAAGTTTGTGGTTTTGATGGAAAAGTCTCTACAATGATGGCTTGCCATGGAATTTGGTATACACATTAGCGTCCTCTTTTTGGTGCAATACTTTTCCTTTAGCGCCATCGTCAATCAGCTGTACTTAACTGAATTAACAAACTCTTAGTCTTGTTGATACATTGGATATAATTTTGATATATCGGCCTACTCAATATATTTTTTGTTTTATTGTTTCTGTACTCCCTCTTCTTGGGATTGATGCCCTTTTGATCAAATTTTCATTGTATAATACTTTTACTTATAATAGCTATTTCATTTGAGATGTTTTATAGTCCTGCGTCAGATTGGATGAGCCGGAAGTGCATTTGTGATTTGGATAAGTGTGCAGAGAAAACATTGTAACTGTAAGCTATGTGGCGTGTTTGGCGTGACTTTGCATGATGGCAGCTGATTTCCGGTTTAGATAAATGTTTGTTATATAATGACGGCCCAAGGTGGACTTACCAAAACAGTCTTTCAAACAAGAAAGAAAGTCAGAAGCGAAACTACAGAATCACATCTTCTTTTAACAAATTAATAAAGTTCAAACTTCAAGTAATCCCATCATCATCATCATCATCATCAGCAGCAGCAGCAGCAGCAGCAGAAATATAAGAAATACAAAGGCGAAACAAAAACAAAAAAATACCAAACACATGTCCAACCTAAGAGGAAACTCCGGTAGAAATAATTTAAAATTATAATAGTTAAATAGTTTTAACAACAATAATGCCATCTTTTTATGCCATTACCAGAAAATAATCCAAAGGAGGTAAGAAAATGCCATGCATAACCAACACCGATGAGAGACACAATTTAATACAAAGTCATGTTTCTACTCAAATGTAAGAGTGATAAGAAGCGCGTGTGTATGTCATTCAGAGCGGGCCTAGCTTATTACCACTTCTTAGAAAATGTATTCACCATTTACAGATCGTTCATTTTAACGATTTTCTTTACATACATTTAATCTTTTATAGTCTCCAGACACTCAGAGGAAGGTCTCAGTGTCGGATGTAGACGTGTGGTAGCCATCGTAGAAGTCCTGCCAATAAACATTTGTGAAAAGAAAGGAACTTGGCTTGAAATGTGGATTTAGTCGATAAAGTTCTCAGACATGCAGCGGAACATCAAATATATTTTGTAAACAAAAGCAAAGATTTTTGTTAAAGGAGACCTCATGCTTTTCCACATTTTATGACTTTTCTACAATGTTATAATGTTGGATGTTCATGTTAAACATGGCCAATGCTTAAAAAAATGAGGTCAAAGCATTTATAAGAAATCAGAAACCTCAGATTTCCCCTGCTCTGTTTTGAACAAGGGCTCTGCTGTTGTTCCATATATGGTCATGTGCTCCCACACTAATAGCTCAGTCTGCCTGTTCCGCCCAGCAACGACAACAGCCTGCTAACATGCCTTCAGGTCTTGGCCAATCAGAAGGCAGTGGGCTTTGAGAGGAGGGGCCTTAAAGAGACAGGAGCATCTACAGCTTGTTCAGACAGAGGCTGAAATGAAGGCCTACATGAAGAATAAGTATAAGAAAAACATTTTTTTTTTAACTTTGAAACATGCAAAGTTGCCATACAGGAGTCACAGAACTAAAATATAGGACTGGAAAAGCAGTTTAATAGGTCACCTTTAAAATCACTCTTCTTCTCTTTATATATCAACACCCCTGAATTTAACACTTAAAATAGTTTTATCATCCCAAAGCCATTTATCTTAATTTATACCATTGCTATTTAAAATTGATTGATCTGAATGGCTGTCATTAAGACAAAAACATTAAGACTGATGGTTAAGTTTTGCTTTGAATGTGTCGCATATGTGAGTTAAATATGTTTATATATTCTCCCTGTAATTAAAGGGGGGAGGGGGGGGGTGTTCAATTTGTACATTAGGACACCTCAAAAACATAGTTTGGGGCAGCAGCCTTTCTAAATCAGGAGCATATTAAAAAGTAGGTAACAAAAGCAACAATACTGATTCATCATGTTCTGTTACTGTCACTGTTGAAATGGAGCCAACCATGACAAAATACTGGATGACAAAACAGAGAACGTGCAGGTAAGCAAGTAGTTTGGCCTGTTTATTACACTATGATAGCCACAGGTGACAGTTTCTTTCAGTTTCTATTTAAGGTCTACCTGCTAGATATCTCCTGGAGCTTTTAGCCACATCATGCAAGTCCACAAAGAAATCTAGAGAGTGGAGCTTGAGTTAAATTTATTTTGTTAAACTAGAAAAGTTACCTTCAAGATTAGACTTTTCATTATATAAAAGTATAAATATTTTCTTAAAGCTGGGGTAGCAATCAATAAATCAAATGCTCTGACACAAAAATTAAAAGAATCTGTTAACTTTGGCTGTCGCAGGACCTGTTCTTTGTTTGTTTTGTCATCCATTGGGTCATTGCAACATTGACGGTAACATAACATGCTGAATCAGTATTGTTGCTTTGGTTAACTTCTTTTTAATATGCCTTGTGCTTTTAATTTAACACGTTTTCCCTTTTAATTACAGAGAAAATATCTAAAAACATATATAACTCATGTACGCGACACATTCAAAACAAAACTTAACGATTAATCTTAATGTTTTGTCTTTTGTTGTACTGGAGATGCTGAGTGTCATCTCTTTTTTCAGAGATGGTTCACCGGCTGTCAGATCACTGAAACAAAATGAAAATGAACAGAAACAACCACTAAAATGTCTGTGAATCTTCGTGGCAGCTGAAAAGGGGATTTACAACTAACATAAATGACGGCAGTATGACTTCTATGATGGCCACATCTGAGTCTTTAAATGTTTCAGTGTCCCCACAAATTCTTGGGTAAAGCAGTTCTTAATTTCTATATCAATTTTATACAACAGGTTATATCAAAAGAGACCTGACAGGGTTGTTTGAAAGTTCAATCCACTGACATGGATGCACACAAATGAAAAAAACCCAAAACAAAACAACAAAACATAACAAGACAATCATAAACCCAACCAGCACTGAAGTAAAATTGCACATTCAATACTCCTCAGTGCTAAATGGTCGACTACGTTAAAACATTAATGTAATGTAAACGATTAATAGAGAAATGCAAAAAGACGTCATCTACTCATATTGCATTGAATATGGCTCAGATTTTTCTTTTCTGCTTGGATAAATGCTGCAAACAACACACACACACACACGCACACACACACACACACACACTTGGGAATGTGTACTTGAGATACACATGAAAAGACTCACATGAAAGACACACACACTATTATAACACAACACACAGTCTGTAGTTATGTACATACTGCACAGAGAATTTGATATGATATGGGGAATGTTATCTCACACACACACACACACACACACACACACACACACAAGCTGCATGTGAAAAGCCTTGTTGGGTCAGGAGTACCAGATACACACTATCCCAGTGTGAAAAGTTTAAATATGTCTTTGTTTGACGGCAGCTGGAAAATCAGACGTTAGAAAATTAACAGGTAAGTGATTATGCTTAAAAAGCCTTTTTTTAAACATAGACCGGTGTGTCATCCATAATCAACGGGCTGCACTTGCTGAATCTCTAATCACACCTGCACAAGGACCTATGGATGAAATACTGTGTTGGTTGTCCTTGATACTGGGCCGATGCCGGTGCTTTCTAAATAATGTGATCTGTTTCAGTCAGTGATGAATATGATTAATATGATTAAATTTTGTTTGGATGCGACATTTTAATTTAATTGATTTAAAATAATTAAATCTTGTGATAGAAGTTGTTAACAGACTTTTACTCCTGTGATGCTTTGAATAAGGGATGCAACCAGATTAATTTAATTATCGATTTATCTGCCAATTAGAATAATCGATTGGCTTTAAAATGTATAATATTTTCCCAATTTCAAAATCCACTCTGAATTCAAGATATCCTCAGTGTCTTAACATGTTTTAGCCCAAGTCCTATTCAGAGACTTTTAGACAAGAAAAAACTAAATCTATGAATAAATTTTTAAGAAAAAGATAATCAGCACATCCGTCAGCTGTCAGGCTTCAACAATCGAACCAGTCAAACTCCACTGGGGACCAACAAGTCCAACATGTGGTGGAATGAGTAAAAACAGGATACTAATAAAAAAGTTTAGAACTTAAAAATGACCACACAGAGCCATAAATCTAGTTATTTAATGAAACCTAATTGAGCAGTATCTCTAATACATTAGCTCGCCATTTGTTTTTGAATTCAATTTAAGATTCTTTTGACCACTTTAAAAGTCCAGCCCAGATTTTTTTAAAACCATATTTTGCACCAAGAGTTGTCAGGTCTGGAAACCAAATGCTGTCAGATGTTTTATGATTTAGGTTAAGGACAAATGGCTCCAACACTGTGGATTAAAGCAGAGGTTCCCAACCTTTTTTTTGTGGCTTGTGACACCTTAAAACGAATAAATATTAATTTTGATGTGCACATGTTAGTTTGTAGCTGTAGTTTGAAAAGGAACTCTAAACTAAAGTTTTACGACTTGAGACAGTTGAAATTTGTAATATTATCAAACCTGTAATGGGGATGCTGAATGAATCATTTGGTATTAAAGCAATCTGTTTTGGAGAATGTAAAAACAAACCACTGCGATAGATGCAAGGGAAAATACTGAAATTGGGGTTTAGATTTGACACTACATCAGAGCAATGTCTTTGGCACACAGGTTTTATGGGTAAACATAAAAGCTTTTAGTATTTCTATCAGTTCTGAAATAAAAATGTAATTTTGGTTATTTTCAACAGAAATAACAGTTTTTCAATGATTGCACGAATAAACTGATACTTAAAGTAGGAATTGTGACTAAAATAAACAGCTTTCATGAGTTCGGCTCCCCTAAACCACAAGTGAAGTCACGACCCGAGACGGCTGCTCAAAGTGCAGTTGCATCCTGAGCCGCCATTAGTCATACAATCAATCTCTACACTCAACCAATAAATAGAATATGAATAAATAAATACAAATAAATAGTTGACCATTAAAATCTCCACTGCAGTGCTGCTGTGAGCTGAAGCCGTTCTCTCCTCTGATGTGAGGTGAGACACTGACTCTGACCAGACTTTGTTTTTGTTACACTTTTCTCTCCCAGCTTCGTCTCCACTACGAGTGTGTGCAGAGTCCAGAGACACCGAGTGAGTGTGTATGAGTGTATGTGCGCCTCAGACAGCCGTCTCCAAGTCTTCGCGGGGGGCAGCAGATGTGTGTTGTTGGGTGCTCAGGTAGGTGGCGAGCTCAGAGTCTCCCTGCGCTTGGTCCGCTGCTGTCTTCCCCTGGTGGACACACACACACACACCTTAATTTGCCGCTTACCCAATCAATCGATTTGTCTTAGAACTCAAGTTGACACAATTTAAATTGCTTGTTTTTATCCAACCAGCAGTCAAAAAGCCCAAACATATTCAGTTCCCCAAATAGAAAACAAAGAAAAGCAGAACATCGTTACTCATGAAAAGCTGAACTAGTGATATAACACATTTTAACCACAACTCTGTTAGGGTGCACATGAGAATTGTCTCTGACTTTTGTGGTTTGCAGACATTCGCTGTCATATGATTAATTGAAAACGCTGCTTTCTGGGGCATCATGGAGGCCTAGATTTGTAAGATGTGTCCCACTGAACTGCAGCTTTCCAGGTTCAAATCTGTCCGGGGGGGTTTTGTTGTACACCGTTCCAACTCATGTAGGTTTGATTTATGTAGCTGGATTTGTCCAGCATATATTATCCTCTATCCGTATCCCCCCTTCTCTCTCTTTTTCCTCACTAGTAATAGCTACTATCAAATAAAACAGGCACAAATTCACAAAGACAAAGAATACTACCAATAATAATAGTGGTTGTTTCTGTCCATTTTATGGTTAACAGAACAATTCTTCCAGTGATTTGAAAGCTGGTGAACCCAGAACAGATCAGGCTCTTTAAAGCTGATACAGAGGTGTAAAAAAAAAAAATCTCTGTACACGCCTCCATGGCTGGTTGGGATATCCCCAGCAAGTACAAAATAGACCAGACAGACACACCCAGAATGGTTTTTGAACTTTCTTTGAAGATCATTTACATGTCAAGTCGATGAGCTGATATGACTCAGCTGAATTTATGGGAAAAGTCCACAGTTAGTGTGTGGTTTGTGGTGTAACGTGTGAGTGAGTGTGAACCTGGAAGTTGGTCTTCTCGAGCGACGCTCCGGCCTCCACCAGCAATCGACACACGGCATGCTGCTTCTCAGAGGCTGCTTTGTGCAATGCAGTGTCCCCTCTAAACACACACACACACACACACACCATAAAGTGTCTTTGTCTTCAACGATAATCTGATATATATATACATAAATATATTTAAACATTAAGCCTACACAAAAAACTAAATTAAAAGTTCCCAACATACTTCTCTCTGTCTGTCAAATCCAGCAGCACTTTAGAGCCTGAAGAGGAAGAAACAGAATAAACATAAGCAACCACATTTTTTTGAGGTAATTACGGTAACGTTTACGGGCTGTTTCTGTCACTCCTCTGTGAGAAGGCGATTAAGCTAGCCGCACCTAAATCTGTAGTGCACACGTATTATAGCCTTTATGGTAAATCCACTGAAATGGACCAGTACGAGCTGACAAGCAGTCATTTTCTCTCTTTACAAAGTGTTGCAGTATGAGAGTCTGACCTGAAGAGTGGCTTTGAAGCATAATTTATCAAATTGGGTCAGACTTGATGAAATTAGTGCAAGTGACAACGTCTATCCAGTATGGAAATAAGATTAACTGGATTATTTTTACAGAAAGTATAAAACATGTGTCCATTAAAAGTAAAAAAAAACAACAGTAAAATGTTAGGGAAATTATTTTCTATTTTCTATTCTTTGATTTAGGGTTGCTGGAAAAACATTAAATAAATTTGTTGACTTTTGTTGCTGTTTCATCACCATTTATAGCTATAGCTATATATGGGTTTATGATCAGATAGTTTACTAGAGCACAACATTGTTTACAAGCGTACAAAGTTCTTCATGGATTGCCTCTTCATTTTGCACCAAATGAATGCATTTTACTTTTAAAATGTACAAGATTTTCTTCCGGGGGGCTTGCCACTGGACCCACCGCTGGACCCCTCGAGAGGGTCGAAGGCCAACCCACCATAGTCTCTTAAATTCCTGTGGGAAACACTGTGCAGGATTAAATGTGAAACAACTAGGGGGCAGATCAGGGCCGGATCATCCCTCGCCGACACGGGATTTAATGAGACATCGTAACGATCTCGGACAAACTTCAGGAGTTTTATTCTAAACATCCCGCCATAAATCTCTTTTTTAAAATTCTGCTGCTGACCCTCCTCTTCTTTTGCATTTAATGGCGGTAAGCAAACTAACTGCATACCGCCACCACCTGGGCTGGTGTGTGGAATAGTAGATTGCTGCTGACCTGCCTGTCAGGTCAACCTTACTGCCCCACGTTCATGTGCTGAATTGTATCTTGCTGAAGTGTAGTGTTTATAACTTTAGACATGTTAAAATGTCTACTGAAGGGCAACACGTTTTCTTGTTTTGTGCTGTAGATGTCACGCAGAAGTTTTAAAGACAACATATAAGCAGAGCTATTTGTTTACAGTAATAAACACAGCTAACTTGTTCAAAAGGCTACATACAGTATCTCAAATATAATCATCACACGCATATACCTGCATGTGCATCATGCACATTCTCACCCTGCTGCAGTATGTAGCTGACCACGTCCGTGTGTCCGTTCTGGGCAGCTACATGTAACGCAGAACAGCCTCCAGAGTCTCTAACCAGCAAGCTCACGCCTCGACGCACACACTCCGACAGCTGGAGACATAGACGGAAAAAAAACAGAGAAGTGGATTAGGATCTTTTAAAACAAGAACTTTACAGGTCCCTCATTTGTAGCTTTGGGGATTTAAAGCGTAAATGGAAGCATGGAGTATGGCCCCAAATGGCGTCACCATTGTGATGTGATGCCATTTGTTACGGGATTTTCTGCAGATGAGGTTTGAATTTCTAAAGTTGGGGTTCTCTTCTTTGTCTCTGCTCTACTCAGATTCCTTCTCTTGCTCATACAAACACTTTTCATTTGTTTACTGCAAACAAACCAGGGCCTCGTTTCCCAAAAGCATCTTGAAGCTTAGGATAATAATAAAATACAAACCTTCTTAAGCATAAGAAGAATCGTTAATTAAGAAGCTTAACTATAAAACTACATTTCATTTAAGTTTTTATTGTTTCTGTTCATTTTTAAGTCTTTAATTTTATTATGGCCACTGGTTTTCTATTATAAGTGACACTTGATTGATTAGAAAATAGAAAATAAAGATAAAAGATAAAATGTATTGAATATTTAATTTGCACATTTGAAAAAACATGCTACAATTTAAAATCCTCACATTAAAAAAGAGAAAAGGAAAAAGTGAATGTTCAGCATCTGATAAATGAATCAATTAAAACATTTGTTTGTTTTGTTGAAAACTATTGACAGTTAAGTAACTCATCATTTCAGCCATATTTCCTAATCTTCTCTTTCATTTTTACTCATATTATTGTATCAACTCGCAGTAAGTCGCTTCTTGATTTTAGGTTTAAGAGAAACGTCTTACTCCCAACCAGTAACTTGCATCATATAAGGCAGCGAGCTGAAAGGTCCGCTTTATCTAAATCAAATTTACACTGAATGAATGCAGGTAAAACTCATTTATTTGTGTCATTTACAACACTTAAACTTTGTGACATGTATTTTTTATTATGTAGCATGGTTTACAGACCATGGAACTTTAAAATACATTCAGCGTACTTTTCAAATTTAAGAGTGTTATAGAAAACATTTTAACTTGTAAGATTGATCACACAGTACTTTGCTGACAAGAAAATGATTTAATGAACTGGCTTTATGGTGAATCATTACTCCTTTTCCTCAGCTGGTGAAAGAGAGATGCTGAACAGAACAAACTAAGCAGACAGTTTGAAGGACACATTGTAAATCCCAGTGGAGTATAGCAGATACAGACAGGTAAAACTGGTTTGAATTAGCGATTCCTTTCTGTGTGCGTCTGTTTGTCTGTGTGTTTGTCCTTACCATGGAAATATCCCCTTTACTGGCAGCCGTCATCAGTGCTGTAAGCAGACAGAAATCATCATGTGAGATCATGTAGGATAACAAAGCTTCGGTTGGGCTGCAAACCTTTATCAAGTTTCCGTGGACAAACCAGTTTGTCTGTCCATCTTCCCCTTTTTCTAGAAATGTCCAAGAAACACTAAGACAATGCCTGTGGTAATAATGACTAACTGGGAATAAAGTTCAGGGATTTTTCTTTTTTAATCATATCTTTAACCAACCACCCCTCTGCTTTGAAACTGTATTTGTCAGTCATTCATCATCTTCCTACTTCCCTGTGCAGGCACACAGGGAAACTGTTTGTGTGCAAAACAATAAATGCATTCAAAGTGAAGCATTGTTTCCAAGAGTAAGTGGGAAAATAAAAATAAACAAAAATGTATTTCCTCTTTTATACTGCAGGGTGTTTCTGCAGGGACTCTTTGCACTCTTGAACTTTCTGTTTCACTTTCCTACAAATCCACCGCCTGTCTGTGTTGTCCAGCCAGGTGAAAGTTCAGATTATTTCCTTGTAGCAGAATAAAAACCGGCTAAGACTAAGTAACTAACATACCTGCCTCTATTTTGCCTTGTGTGTACCTTAAATGCATGTGTGTTAGAAGCATTTATACACCAGGATTTCAGAATCTGTAGGAGGGGAACCAAAAAACGTCTTTTATATCTGCAGTTTTGGACTGCTTACAATTTTTTAAGCGCTTATCTAATGAAATGTATGAAATTAATTGTCCTTATGACCTTTATATGTAGCTTTGGCAATATTGTTAGCTAATTTGAATTTGAATTTGTAACCACAAAACAAGCTAACAACTAAACAAAGTGAATATGACATTTATGAAGAGGCGGTACAAGAAAATATGGTGTTGTTTGTTGTTGGAGGTGCAAAACTGAAAGTGGACGTACATGTCAGGACAAGTCAGGACAAGTCAGGGTGACGAGCAAATTTCTCTTTAAGGTGGAGAGTCCCTGGAATTACACTGACTTATTGCTGTTATGAAACCAGTCAACCCGGCCGCAGTAAACATCTCCAACTTCTCCAGAACAAGTCTCCTGAGACATTATTGTTCTAATCATCACAAGCCTGAACACAGACTGAAACCTGTTAAGGTTATATTTAGCAAGAAACACACACACACGACTTCAAGCTGAAAGAGTTGCCTAGTTTCTTTTGACTGGACAATGTTTTACAGATATACAGTTGTGGTTAAAAGTATACTTGTAAAGAACATGTGTTTCATGTCAGTTTGAGTTTCCAATAATTACTACAACTCAATAAAAGTCAATGTGCAACTTATTAACGAGGATTTATTAAATAATATCTTTTCTAAAAAAGATTTGAGTTTTTATACATTCTGATGTGTGTGTGTGTTCTACCTTGTTCGTCAGCTGTCAAGGGAGACCTGGGAAAATAAATTACAGAAAGAATTAAAATGTGATTATGTGGAAAGCTTCTGATTAAATGTTTACTCTAAAAAATCATAAACTTTGAAGTTCTTCCTCCAACACAATTAGTCATTAACAGTTATGAGATTTAGAGCTGCAACGATTAATTGATTCATTAATAAGTGGACGGACAGAAAATTAATAACTATTTTTAAAATAATCCTTTTAAAATTGGCAAATATTTGCAGGTTGCAGCTTCTCAAATGTGAGGATTTTATTCTTTGGTACCCCTTTAGTTTTTTTTAAATTTAGGGCTCCGCAGTCAAGTTATTAACAATAAATATGTAACGTCCGGTTGAACTGTCAAAATAAAATGCTGCTGTTTTTTATTTTGAGTTTTTATAAAGATGTGAAATGTAATTTGGTTAGATTTAGGAAAAGATGGTTTGGGTTAAAATATGTACATCTGTTAACACGTAAGTTAAGTAATGTTACTTATGCAATTTACATAACCTACATACCTTAAATAAGAATATACTGACTTTTTGTTTCACATGAAACAAACACCGATCGAAAAGTTGCAAGTCCAACTTCTGGCCCTCCATCCAACACAACCACCTCCTTACTCTGGCTTTTCTGTTAAATATCATACACCTACCTTTACCGTCCAAAACGGACGCTACAGGGCTTCCCCAACCGCGTTGAACTATGACGCTTTAGGGATCCCCATTGTTACAAACTGACGGGTCTTGACCATGTGTTCGCGAGTTGTGATTGAGAATGGCGATATTCATTTAACCACGACATAAAACGGAGAAAAGTAGCAAAGCTTTATACCCGAGCTGGAACCAGTGGATGTTGATAAATGAATAAATAATTTGATTTAATTTTCTTTTGGTTAAACTAATAGTTTCAGCACTACCCCATGATATGATGAAAGAAGTTCATCTATAATATTTACTCAAAATATGTGCAAGAGCACATGTTTATCAATTTATTTAATTAATCATAAATTAATGCACATGTGTAACTGTCTTTCTGAGTACAAGTATAAAATCGTATGTCCCTCAGTGGGACATAGCTGGTTTAAAAAAGGTTTTACGTACCCTGCAGTAGGCTCCACTACCAGATCAGGCATCCCCGTGGACGTTCCCTGGCTCACCACTGGTCCCTCGTGGTCCAGGATAAACACCTCGTCCTGGCAGATTTCTGTCACAAAGTGGAGGTGCTCCTACAAAAACACATGCGTACAAACATTTCAGTAAAAATCAAACAAAAATCTATCAATTCAGTGATTTCTGAACTCTTATTTTAATCGTTTGAGCACACAGACAATTTAAGTCATGTTTACCTGAGCCTTGTCAATGCGATAGAAGCGGTCAGCTGATGTGGCTGTAGAGCAGAGACATGCATGTCAATAGGAGACACTTCTGTTAACGAATGTCTGTCTGAGTTTTGTATTGTGTCACTTTTACTAGCTGCTTGGAGTTAACTTTCTTTAAAACAACCATTAAAAACACTATTTTAAATCTCTGTTTAACTGAGTTATGTCATTTTATATCACCTGGACAATATTATATTGTCTATTTTATCCATTTATCAGGTTGTTACCTTTTGCTGTCCTTTTTCAAAGCACTTTGTAACTATGTTAAGAAACAAGCTTTACAAATAAACAAAATAAAAATACTATATTTTTACTAGTCACTTTAGTGAGGCGGAGTGATGTTAAAGAATAGAAGGTGTGAAAGTGAACATGCTAACAAGGGTATATTTTAGGGAATAGATTTGGCTCACAAAGGATCTAAAATGATGTGCTTCAGATCACAAATCATTTGTGCCATCATCAATAAAAAAGGTTTTACATATTTGATTGTGTCAAAAAAACAAAAACAAACAAGAAATTTGGGGGTTTTGGTGTCAAATCTTTATAAAGGTAATCTGGCATTTGAGTTCATCTTTGTCTCTTACTTCAATGAAACATTCCTCATTGGTTTAACATCTGTCGGCGTTTCTGTCACTTACAATCCAAGAAGCTCCAGTTGGCAGAGAGTCTACTGTTTGAACTGGTCCTGGGGATGCCTCGGCACTCATCCTGAAGACAAAGAGACAGACACTGTGATCTTTACCATCCCTTTACTAAATAATAAACTGCATGTCATAAAGTTTACATGGGGAATTATTTTAAGAGAGAGAAAGCCAAAGACAGAATTCCAGATGGAGAAAGATATTATTAAGTGTTTATTTTTGAGCAGTTAAACAATCAATAGCAAGACAGAGACAATCCAGACAATGAGACAGCGTATAGTGTAGTTTAAATTGAATATTATTACAACATACTTTTTATATTTTATGTCCAGAAATGTGTTCTCCAGTGTGGCAGGACTTTACTTAACATGGGTGTCAGTCTGTAAAACCTGGATTTTATTAATTGTTGTAGTTTTTGTAGGTGAATTCCTCATTTTAAAGGGTGCAGAAATGTATTTTCAAGTTTTATGGAACTGCAAACACAGCTAAAACTACCATAACTATTATATGGGTAACTGTCCAAATGCAACATTGAAAGAATAATATTCAGATGTTAGGCATTGTAAAAAAGCCTTCAAAATGAATAATAATCAAACTTTTCCTGCAGCAAGACACCCAAAAGTGATATACCTGATAGTGCACTCTGTGGCCAGTAGATGGCGCCTGGTGTAAGTCCTAGCAAGCACAGCAGACAGGTTTCAAGGTTAACAAACAGCCAAGCATTTACATCAGAAACGTCCACAGATGTTCGCTCTGTTAGTGAACGTTTCCCACATGAGACACACAGCTAAAAGATCAGCTCAGCATTCCCAGCGGTGTTGGTTGCTTATCCATCCAAAAATAACTCAAGAGTGGAGCGACGCCGCCGCATGCATCGTGAAATAATGATGACGAGGAAGTAACAGAAGAAGGGAGAAGGCAAGAAGAAAATCAAAGTGATGATGAGCATAATGAAAACTTGCCTCTTGCAATCTGTCAATATAGAGTCTGCATGTCTCCAGGTCACAGTCCCCCCTCACCACCACAATGCCTACTGGGATGGCTGGAACACAAAAAACACACACTTTAGACCATAATGTGTTGAAAAAGTAGGTTAAAGCTGCATTAACTGCATTTGTCTGGCAACTTGTAGTAAGCAAAAACAAGCTAAAAACACATCATTGACATTTTATCACCATATACGGCAAACTTTACATTATTAACATTATTATTAGTGTTTCTGGTCACGTGATGATTATAAGTCTAATAATCACTCTAACTTAGCTCTTTTTTTGTTCTCTACCGGCTCCTGAAGAAAAAATCTGTCTTTTTAGCTGCTAAATGCTCCACTATGTTCACCAGCCAGTCGCTCACTGCGTCGGTCAGCTGTCTGCTGCTGAGCAGGTAGCGTACAGTGGGTTTGTAGAGCTTTGTAGCTGAAAACATATTGTCTGAAAACAACACTTAACAGTGTTGAGAGTGAACCAAAACAGTAACGTTGTGGGCTGTAAAATCAAAATAATGAACACTTCTCCTCAGAACTGAGAGTAATCGGGTTAATCATTGTGAGCGACCACTTTCACATACAGGTAGATCCATTGATTATAGCCACTTTAATTTTGATCTCAGTGAGTCTTACAGATGTCTCGCAGTCGCTCTTTGTCGTACTGCAGTCGGTCGTACTCCTGGAGGCTGATCCGATTCACTCGAAGACGCAGGCGATCAGGTACTGAGTGAGGACTGGAGAAAAGAAAATGTACGTGGACACACACATAATTCAGACATGTCCAAACATACAATCATAAGTACACTTGTATGCATACGTGCACGCACAGACATCAAAAAACAAATCTGAGCTTTGCAACATAATGATATTCAATTCCTCATCTGTCTGGCTTTGTTGACGTTAACATGGTTTAAATTTATTCACACTTAGGTTACTGACCAGAAGTTTTCTAACTGAGCTCAAAGTGATAACTCGAGGTTTGTAAAAAGTACTAAGCTATTTATCTTTACAGTAAGCTTCCCCCAGTAGCAGAGCGCTTACTGTAAAGATAAAGGGCTCTGTTGTCCTCCTGCAACACAACCTTGATTCTGTGAGTTTGAGGTGGGCCAACACATTTTGAAGTCAATGTTTGTGGGCAATATTGCCTCCAGCGAGGATGGAGGCTGATGGAGGCAGAATACTGACGTCAGAAACACGGTGGGCGATAAGCAAAACCACAATGAGAAAACGCTGTTGGCAAAATTACCCATCTACCCAACCTCAAAAGCTCAAAATCTTACCTTGAGACGAAACAGAAATGGTGTCAAATTAATGTACATTAAACTTTTCGGTACACTAATTATGAAAACAGCTTTTCTGGGGAAGGGTATGGACATCAAGTGAGTGCAAAGGGACTGGTGCAGGTGTAAAATGAGCACAGCTCAGGGTAAAGTTAAAGGTAAAAGGACTACAGCAGGAAGAAATCAAGACAAGAAGCACATTTAGAAGCAGAGAGGCTTCAGCATGCAGCCATACAGTCTCCCTCTCTTAACACACATCCAACGCAATACGACACAACTTGCATCTGACCAGTATGAGTTTTTAAATCCAGCACTGACAAGAATTTGTACTGCAAAAATTCTGTGTCTGTATTTAACACCTTTAAAGTTAGTTATTCTGAATACAAATTGTTGATGTTTGACTAAAAGTTTGTTTAGAGGGATTAAAGTAATAAATGTATATTAGTACTAGAAATATAACTACAATATTCAAAAAGATCTAAAACTATTAGCCAAAAGAATCAATTTGTAAACTGAACCTGCACCAAATGTGATTTATTGTTCATGTCATTCTCTGTTTTACATCATTATAAATTGAATATCTTTTATCTTTTATTTTTATATTTTCTGTCATTAGTTTGACTTTTAATGGACTAAATGATTAATTAAATTACATATTTGATCACTTAATTGATAATGTAAATAACTGCTGCATGTTAAGTATTCACAGATTTATTTCTCTCTCTCTCTCACACACACACTTTATAAAGTGAAGGTTGAGCTAAAAGACTAGTTAGAAAAGGAAAGAAATTCAAGCTAAATAATGTACATGTGTATAAATATGTCATGTCATGGCAAATACAATCAATCCAATGAAACTAAATGTTGTGTTTGTCACAGATATTTTGTATAATTTAATTAATTTGTCAATCACACTTATTGGTATCAGTGATCAAACACTGACTGGTTTCAATATCATCAAATCAAATGTTGTCAAACCAGTGACACGACGTCAACGACTCACAAACACACACATGTAACGCACAGTGACAGAGGGCTGAAGTACTTACACAGAGAAGGAGTCTGGGGGAGCAGAGAGGCGGCGCAGATCAGCTGCACACACCTTCTGAATACTACCGCCGCACACACACACACAGAAGAGAGGAGGAACGCATGGGGGAGAGGAGAGGGAAAGAGATGAGGAGGGGAGGAGCAGAGGAGAGGGAAAGAGATGAGGAGGAGAGGAGAGGAGAGGGAAAGAGATGAGGGGGGAGGAGCAGAGGAGAGGGAAAGAGATGAGGAGGGAGGAGAGGAGAGGGAAAGAGATGAGGAGGGGAGGAGCAGAGGAGAGGGAAAGAGATGAGGAGGGAGGAGAGGAGAGGGAAAGAGATGAGGAGGGGAGGAGAGGGAGGAGAGGGAAAGAGATGGGAGGGGAGGGGGAGAGGGAAAGAGATGAGGAGGGGAGGAGAGGAGAGAGAGGGAAAGAGAGGAGGGGAGGAGAGGAGAGGGAAAGAGATGAGGAGGGGAGGGGGAGAGGGAAAGAGATGAGGAGGGGAGGGGGAGAGGAGAGGGAAAGAGATGAGGAGGGGAGGAGAGGAGAGGAGAGGGAAAGAGATGAGGAGGGGAGGAGAGGAGAGGGAAAGAGATGAGGAGGGGAGGGGGAGAGGAGAGGGAAAGAGATGAGGAGGAGAGGAGAGGAGAGGGAAAGAGATGAGGAGGGGAGGAGAGGAGAGGAGAGGGAAAGAGATGAGGAGGGGAGGAGAGGAGAGGAAAGAGATGAGGAGGGGAGGGGGAGAGGAGAGGGAAAGAGATGAGGAGGGGAGGAGAGGGAGGAGAGGAGAGGGAAAGAGATGAGGAGGGGAGGAGCAGAGGAGAGGGAAAGAGATGAGGAGGGGAGGGGGGGAGAGGAGAGGGAAAGAGATGAGGAGGGGAGGAGCAGAGGAGAGGGAAAGAGATGAGGAGGGGAGGAGAGGAGAGGGAAAGAGATGAGGAGGGGAGGAGCAGAGGAGAGGGAAAGAGATGAGGAGGAGAGGAGAGGAGAGGGAAAGAGATGAGGAGGGGAGGAGCAGAGGAGAGGGAAAGAGATGAGGAGGGGAGGAGAGGAGAGGAGAGGGAAAGAGATGAGGAGGGGAGGGGGAGAGGGAAAGAGATGAGGAGGGGAGGAGAGGAGAGGAGAGGGAAAGAGATGAGGAGGGGAGGAGAGGAGAGGGAAAGAGATGAGGAGGGGAGGGGGAGAGGGAAAGAGATGAGGAGGGGAGGAGAGGAGAGGAGAGGGAAAGAGATGAGGAGGGGAGGAGAGGAGAGGGAAAGAGATGAGGAGGGGAGGGGGAGAGGAGAGGGAAAGAGAGGAGGAGGGAGGGAGGAGAGGGAAAGAGATGAGGAGGGGAGGAGAGGAGAGGAGAGGGAAAGAGATGAGGAGAGGGAGGGAGAGGAGAGGAGAGGGAAAGAGATGAGGAGGGGAGGGGGAGAGGAGAGGGAAAGAGATGAGGAGGGAGGAGAGGAGAGGAGAGGAGAGGAAAGAGATGAGGAGGGGAGGAGGAGCGGAGGAGAGGGAAAGAGAGGAGGAGGGGAGGAGCAGAGGAGAGGGAAAGAGATGAGGAGGGGAGGAGAGGAGAGGGAAAGAGATGAGGGGGAGGGAGAGGAGAGGAGAAAGAGATGAGGAGGGGAGGAGGAGAGGAGAGGGAAAGAGATGAGAGGGAGGGAGGAGAGTGAAAGAGATGAGGAGGGGAGGAGAGGAGAGGAGAGGGAAAGAGATGAGGAGGGGAGGGGGAGGGAGAGGAGAGGAGGGAAAGAGATGAGGAGGGGAGGAGAGGAGAGAGGAGAGGGAAAGAGATGAGGAGGGGAGGGGGAGAGGAGGAGAGGGAAAGAGATGAGGAGGGGGGAGCAGAGGGAGGAGGGAAAGAGATGAGGAGGGGAGGAGAGGAGAGGGAAAGAGATGAGGAGGGGAGGAGAGTGAAAGAGATGAGGAGGGGAGGAGAGGAGAGGAGAGGGAAAGAGATGAGGAGGGGAGGAGAGGAGAGGGAAAGAGATGAGGAGGGAGGGGGGGAGGAGAGGGAAAGAGATGAGGAGGGGAGGGAGGAGAGGAGAGGAGAGGGAAAGAGTGAGGAGGGGAGGAGAGGAGAGGGAAAGAGATGAGGAGGGGGAGGAGGAGGAGAGGGAAAGAGATGAGGGGGGAGGGGGAGAGGAGAGGGAAAGAGATGAGGAGGGGAGGAGAGGAGAGGGAAAGAGAGGGAGGGAGGAGCAGGGAGAGGGAAAGAGATGAGGAGGGGGGGAGAGGAGAGGAGAGGGAAAGAGATGAGGAGGGGAGGAGAGGAGAGGGAAAGAGATGAGGAGGGGAGGGAGGAGAGGAGAGGGAAAGAGATGAGGAGGGAGGAGAGAGGAGAGGGAGAGAGGAGAGAGGAGATGAGGAGGGAGGGGGAGAGGAGAGGGAAAGAGATGAGGAGGGGAGGAGAGGAGGAGAGGAGAGGAGAGGGAAAGAGATGAGGAGGGGAGGAGCAGAGGAGAGGGAAAGAGATGAGGAGGGGAGGAGAGGGAAAGAGATGAGGAGGGGAGGGGGAGAGGAGAGGGAAGAGATGAGGAGGGAGGGGGGAGAGAGGGAGAGGGAAAGAGATGAGGAGGTGAGGAGAGGAGAGGGGAAAGGATGAGGAGAGGAGGAGGGAAGGAGAGGAGAGGGAAAGAGATGAGGAGGGGAGGGAGAGAGGAGAGGAGAGGGAAAGAGATGAGGAGGGGAGGGGGAGAGGAGAGGAGAGGGAAAGAGATGAGGAGGTGAGGAGAAGAGGAGAGGGAAGAGATGAGGAGGGGAGGGGGAGAGGGAGGAGAGGGAAAGAGATGGGGAGGGGAGGAGAGGAGAGGAGAGGAGAGGGAAAGAGATGAGGAGAGGAGGAGAGGAGAGGAGAGGAGAGGGAAAGAGATGAGGAGGGGAGGAGAGGAGGAGAGGGAAAGAGATGAGGAGGAGAGGAGAGGAGAGGAGAGGAGAGGGAAAGAGATGAGGAGGGGAGGAGCAGAGGAGAGGGAAAGAGATGAGGAGGAGAGGAGAGGGAAAGAGATGAGGAGGGGAGGGGGAGAGGAGAGGGAAAGAGATGAGGAGGGGAGGAGGGGAGGAGAGGAGAGGGAAAGAGATGAGGAGGGGAGGGGGAGAGGAGGGGAAAGAGATGAGGGGGGAGGAGGGGAGGAGAGGAGAGGGAAAGAGATGAGGAGGGGAGGGGGAGAGGAGAGGGAAAGAGATGAGGAGGGGAGGAGAGGAGAGGAGAGGAGAGGGAAAGAGAGGAGGAGGGGAGAGCAGAGAGAGAGAGGAGGAAGAGATGAGGAGGAGAGGAGAGGGAAAGAGATGAGGAGGGGAGGGGGGAGAGGAGAGGGAAAGAGATGAGGAGGGGAGGAGGGGAGGAGAGGAGAGGGAAAGAGATGAGGAGGTGAGGAGAGGAGAGGGAAAGAGATGAGGAGAGGAGGAGGGAAGGAGAGGAGAGGGAAAGAGATGAGGAGGGGAGGGAGAGAGGAGAGGAGAGGGAAAGAGATGAGGAGGTGAGGAGAAGAGGAGAGGGAAAGAGATGAGGAGGGGAGGGGGAGAGGAGAGGAGAGGGAAAGAGATGGGGAGGGGAGGAGAGGAGAGGAGAGGAGAGGGAAAGAGATGAGGAGAGGAGGAGGGAAGGAGAGGAGAGGGAAAGAGATGAGGAGGTGAGGAGGAGAGGAGAGGAGAGGGAAAGAGATGAGGAGGGAGAGGAGAGGAGAGGGAAAGAGATGAGGAGGGGAGGAGGGGAGGAAAGGGAAAGAGATGAGAAGGTGAGGAGGAGAGGAGAGGAGAGGGGAAAGAGATGAGAGGGAGGGAGGGGGAGGGGGAGAGGAGAGGGAAAGAGATGAGGAGGGGAGGAGAGAGGAGAGGGAAAGAGATGAGGAGGGGAGGGGGAGAGGAGAGGAGAGGGAAAGAGATGAGGAGGGGAGGGGGAGAGGAGAGGAGAGGGAAAGAGATGAGGAGGGGAGGAGGGAGGAGGAGGGAAAAGAGATGAGGAGGTGAGGAGGAGAGGAGAGGGAAAGAGATGAGGAGGGAGGGGGAGAGGAGAGGAGAGGGAAAGAGATGAGGAGGGGAGGGGGAGAGGGAGAGGGAGAGGAAAGAGATGAGGAGGAGAGGAGGAGAGGAGAGGGAAAGAGATGAGGAGGGGAGGGGGAGAGGAGAGGGAAAGAGATGAGGAGGTGAGGAGGAGAGGAGAGGAGAGGGAAAGAGGTGAGGGGGTGATGAGGAGAGGAAGAAAGGAGAGGAATGAGGAGGAGAGGGAAAGGGATGAGGAGGGGAGAGAGGAGGAATGCATGGAGGAGAGGGAAAGGGATGAGGAGGTAAGAAGGACAGAGGGGAAGAAGAGAGGAGAATCATATGGATGAGAGGAGTGAGAAAAGGAGGAGGAAGTAAGGGAAAGGGAAAGAAATAAAACAAGGAGGACAGGAGGGGAGAGAGGAGGAACATATGGTTCAGAGGAGAGGGAAAGGGATGTGGGATGGGGAGGAGAGAGGGTGAGGAGACAGGATGAGGAGACAGGATGAGGAGGAGAGGAGACAAAAGAAAACAAGAGAAAAAGAAGGGAACAAAGGAAGGAGAGAAGGTAAACAAAGGAAAATAATAAATAATCAAAAATATTACAGGCATGTTTTGGCAAAAAGAAAAAGGAGGGACAGGAGGAGGGACAGGAGGAGGGACAGGAGGAGGGGCAGACGGAGAAAAGCCCAGAGGTAAGTAGACAAACACTGATAGCACAGAGTACAGTAGCATAGCAGTACATCAAGCAAAGACACTAGTTACTGCAGCTACAGCAAGTCATTCTTCTTCTACTGTATCTGTCTTTCTCTCACGTGCACACGGTTACTGTAGTTTGTAGACTTTTACAAACAGCTGAAAATGGACCCACATATATACACAAAGATATACACGAAGACGTCATAGTGCTACAGGGATGGAGGAGCGTTAGTAGGCACACAACTTCAGATATACACACTGTGTTTATACAGCACTGCTGCTTCAACCCTGAAAGAAATCAATAAACGCCTCCTGTTATTCTTCTTCTTCTCGGCCGACACACAGGAGAGGGAAAACCACAGTGTATTACATGTCGTCGGAGATATCCCTGCAGCCTTTTTTATTTTTTTTTGATTAATTTAAGTGGACAATATAGATATCCCTACTTTGATTGTGGTTTGGCGAGCTGAAGAGAGAAGTGGGACATTGAGAGGAGTGAATGTCAGCTCCCACTAAACAGATTGTATGACTCACTCAGTGCAACCCGGGCTTTTACAACACTGCTGGCCTACTTCCTCCGTCTGTACATGCCTGTGTGTGTGTGTGCGTTCAAGTGACTCACTCGTTGAGCAGGGGTACAGAGGTGCGTCTCTTGCTCTTCTGGACCATGTTGGCCTGATTTCGGAGGGAGATGCGGAGAGTGGAGGGAGCCAGACGACACGGCTCACCGTCCACCTACATGCACACACAGTGACACACAAAACGGCCACTGTTAAAAGTAGGAAACAATAATTAAACAGAACATATAATATTGCAGCACTTCATGTTGGAGGAGGCAGCATGGGAGTGTATTGTTCCATTTTATGGCTAAACCTAACCAAGTAATTTTGGTGCTAAACAAAACGTTAACCACGTGCTGTTTCACGTTACTCACATGTTTTATTTTGAAAGTGTGACCGGATGTTACTGCTTTATTATTTTGCACCTGCAGTAACGACACTAAAGGGGTACCCAGTGCGTTAACAAGTGACGCCATGGGTCTTGACCGAGCGCCCAACTGTGATGACTTAGGAGTGAGAACGTGTTGGCCAAAACTTTACCTATATGGCACATTACAATACTTTTTTGGGTACCATAGTTTGGGGAGAATAAACATGTTTTAACCCTTCTCCAGAGAAAGAAAGGGTAAAAACATGACCAGGAAATATCTGTAGAGCCTTAAGTGAAGCAGAATTGAACCACTAGCTATACGGTTTAACCGTTTTTAATTAAATGGTCTCCCTGAAGAGAAATTGCTTTGTTTTTGTGATTTAAATGAGACTGAAGAAAGACAATTTTCCCTGTGGGGATTACACCTCTACTAGCTGGCTGTTTTGCTATGAGTGTGTCCCAGTTTTGTTTATCTTGTGCACAGACATGCAATGCACACAATGGTAGAATTAGCCAAGACATATAGGTAAGATTCATTTTTACCACCACAGATGTGCACAATGCCGGAAAATACTTTTTACACGTTTTACATTTTACAACTGTTTTATGAGGAAGGACCTCAAGGATTCCCGTTATGTATTTTGGTGAGTAACATTGAGAATGTAAACATTACAACTCCACAGTGCAACTTTGAGGGCAGGACTTTTTGAAAATGAAATAATATATCTTTTTTTTCTGATGTGTTCTTTTGATTTTGTGATTTAAAAAAGTTAAGAAGGGAACCTTTTTGAGGTAGATTTTATTTGTAGCACCTTGGACAGGAGACACAGTTGTCTGTTTGCATTGCAATGTTATATGTATGAAGTTACAGTGGGGAAAACAAGTATTTGATACACTTCTGATTTTGCAGGTTTTCCTACTTACAAAGCATGTAGAGGTCTGTAATTTTTATCATAGGTACACTTCAACTGTGAGAGACGGAATCTAAAACAAAAATCCAGAAAATCACATTGTATGATTTTTAAATAATTAAAAAATCCCTGCTGCAGTGTCTGCAAACCTGGTCAAGAACTACAGGAAACGTATGAACTCTGTAATTGCAAACAAAGGTTTCTGTACCAAATATTAAGTTCTGCTTTTCTGATGTATCAAATACTTATGTCATGCAATAAAATGCAAATTAATTATTTAAAATAAAATCAGCAGTGTATCAAATACTTGTTCTCCCCACTGTATGTTCTTGTCTGTGTTTCATCACTGCCACTGTATGTTTGCTGTCATTTAAGCTCATGTGGCATGTGTACGAAAAGATAAATAACTTACTTACTTTGGATCAGGAAATATCTGATGAAAAGAACAAATGCTATGCAAACATTTCTGTCAATACTTAAAAGATATTGAGGTTTGGATTTTATCACAAGTTTGGATGAAATAATCCCCCTCAGTACTCTTAACAAGAAGTTCTAGTCAAAGTGCACTTGTTGGATCTTTACTTTAAACTTGATACCTAAATTCTTACGTATTCTGGATTCTTTGTATCTGAGATGAAAAATAGCTGCCACTAGTGAGCAGATGAGTTATTTTCAGCCCTAAATGTATCCCAGAATAAACTGTCCAAGACAGTATGTTGAAATATGAGCGAATCCCAGCATAAAACATTTATGAATATATCTAATTATATATTAACACACTGCTCAACTCGGTACATGAAAGTAAGCAGTTACATTTTGAGGGTAATATTCATGACACACATGAATATATTTAAAGTAGAATTTATATGTCCGCCTACTTGATGAATCCTATGGACAAAACATCATCACTTTTCACATTTTTATTTTCCTAATTTGTAAGCAGTCAAAAGCATCTCAATCATAACAGCAAAACTGTTTGAGGGACTGCAATAAAAATAAGCCATGTGTCTTGCTAGCGTCCTCAAATCTGTTTTGTCTGTATTCAGTACCTCCATTGGTATATTAGATTTTTAAGGTGGACAGATAAATGTAAATGCTCTGTATTTGTACAGCGCCTTTCTAGTCTTTTTCGACCACTCAAAGCGCTTTTACACTACATCTGCATTCACACACATTCATTCATTGAGCCTAAGTGCTCAAACAGAAACTAACATTCATACACTGGCAGAACAGCCACCAGGGGCAATTCGGGGTTCAGTATCCTGGAGGAGCCGGGGATTGAACCGCCGACCATTCCAATTAACGGGCAACCCGCTCTACCTCCTGAGCAGCCGCCCCATGTGTAATGCCCGAATCTGCATGTGGAGTACACATTTTATACCTGTTTAAACAAACATAATGAACCATTATTCCCCTAATGCCCATATTTTTCTTCTGCTGCAAAAATATAATTTTATTTGATCTTGTTTTACTTTCTATAAATATAATCTGTATATAATAATACAGTAAATTCATTCACTTAACAGTCAAATAATAATTTGGCAATGAGGCTGACTGGGATGCCAGTGAGTGTGTGTGCTCACCTGAACAGGTACGGTCTTGAAGGTAGTTAGGATGACTTCCCTGCACTGGTGCAATCTCTCTCCATGACCACCGACCTGTAACGCCGCCTGGTGGACAAGAGGGAGATTTACATCAAGGGTTTGGTTCCCTTTACTTGCTTCTTTCTGTGCGTCCCCTCTGCTTTATTCAGTATTTATTTTTCCTTTCTATTCCCGTTTCTCTCACCAACGAGGCCATGGTGAAGCCAATAACCTCGATGCAGCCGTCATCATGGCGCTGCGGCTCAAAGTCCCGGTGGTCGCCCGTGTTTCCCCATGGCATGGTGCCAGCACAGTACCTGCACACACACACACACACACACACACACACACACACACGTGAAAAAAACAAAACCAATCTGGAACACTTAGTTCACTAAACCAACTTAAATGTCATGGTACCTCAGGTCTTGTGTTGAAGAGCTAACCAATATACTGGATGTTTTAGGTTTTTTCAACACAGATTACACGCAAATATCACTTCAGGTGATGATGGAGACTTTTTACAGACTCTAGAAAGCAAATTTGTTTTTATATATATTTTGATTTCTAAATATTGTTAATCCAGGGTTTTGTAGGAGGATTTAACTCTGTGGTGTCAGAGTACAAAGACTGAAAGAGAACCTACAACCTGACTTACAGGAAATGTATTAGTCAGGTATTCACTAGATTTTTTATGCATTCGCTTATACTTTTTTTTATGATGTTCCAAAGGAAGGACACGATATACTCAAGAAGAACTTTTGGTCATGAAAATGATCCCAAGGAAACGACATATGTTGCTTATATATGCAAACTCTCAGTCCAACTCTAACTAAGAACTACGTAGGGCACAATGTCACATTTTAATTAGCGTAGCTAGTAAAATGAGTCATTCTCCAAACTGTGCGACTACAGTCTTGATGTATAAAATTGATTTTTATTCTGTAAGATTTTCCTTTTGCTGGTTCTGATGATCAGATTTATGTCTAAAGCTTCTTGCTTTGTCTTTCTTTTTATTCTTTTCTGTTTTTAACTTCAGTTGAACTCTCTAGTAATATAAATTACACTACAAGAAAAAGAGCCACAGTGCAACTAAACTCTTTACAGCATCATGGACTCTGTGTATTCACCTACCTGGGAATGTTGAGAAACACAATGCACTGGAATTTCAGCTCCTGAATCTTAGGAGTTAGATCGGTACCGTCACACTGAGAGAGACAGACAAAGAGACAAAGAAAGTGAAAAATATAATTCATATATTAGACCAGAAATAGAGTACATGCATTTGTGTATCAAATTCTTTTGACTTTACTGTACGAAACAACCGTTTTTCACTCTCACATCCTTTACCGGCTTTTACATGTCGCATCAAGCTTCACTTTCAGTTCTTAGTTTTCATTCTCAGTTTCAATGTTCTCGCTCTCGATCTTAAACATATTACCTTATGTTCAGCAAAATAACATGTTTACTGAAAGTCTGCTACTGTAGGCCCCATGACGGTGGTGATGTCTGGAGGTTTGTTTCTTGTTTTGACAAATCCAATAAAAGGATAAAAACCAACAATGAATGTATCCTAATATAAGTATTGCCTGTTAATCAAAAGCCTGATATATTTCATTTCTCTGCCATAGAGCAACAAATGTGGATTAATCTGCACACAAAATAGGCACAAAATGCACTCTTTCACTACTATGCCCAGCTGTTTTAGGAAATGAATGAAACTCTTTTTTGTAAACTAAAACATGTGATATGTGATACTTGCGATCCTAGTTAGCACTAAAAAAATGTATCAGCAATTGTCATTTGTTAAGCAAAAATGGCAAAAATTAACAGGCTCAAGTTTATCCAATGCGATTATTTTGTAGTTTCCTTAGACTTATATGATGGTAAACTAAACATCTTTGTTATTCAACTGTTATTTGGACTATAAGTAACTTAAATATGTTTACTTTGGCTTTGGGAAATTGTGATTGCCATGATTCACTATTTTCTGACATAGTTAGTTAGTAGTATAATAGTTAGTTGCTGGTCTAATGCTAGCAAAGAGGTCAGTGGTCAGCAGGAGTGTAGTGGCCCTGATCAGGATTAAGTGTCTTGCGGAAGGACACTTCAGCATGGCGGGTGTCCTAAGAGCAGTTGAAGGACGGCCCTTTTAATCACCAGGCCGACTTGCTGCTCAGACATGTCGACATGGAAAACGATACAGACTGAGAGAGAGTGTGTTAACACTCACCACCACTCTGACGTGCTTGGACAAATCCCTGGAGCTTCTCTGGAGGAAATCTGAGAACGCAGCCTGCGAAGACACAAGCATGTCCACACACACACACACACACACACACACACACACACACACACACAAAGAGAAAAGGACCCAATCAAACAGAATTACTGTTCATTACATTTCCCTCATTAAAAAGAGATAACTCTGCTGCACGCTTCCTCTCCACCTCCCACTTATCATTTATTCCTTACATCTGTCATCCTTGCAGAGTATGTGCAGGTTTCAAGAAGTTTAAGATTTTCTATGATCGGAATAAAACTTTTTGATTTGAATCAGACAAATTCAGAACCGACGTAAAGAAGAAGCTGGAGAAACAATCCAGTTCTGATTGAACATTGCTAATCAAAAATTCAGTAAGTGCAAGTGTAGAATAAAAAGTCAAAGTGATTTATTAAACACCATGACATGCTAATGTTTACTGAAGCACATGGGATGCATATTTCACTACTGACTCTTCATTATTAATCTAAAATGACTAGTAAGTGCAGCTAAATTTGGCATTGCACGGTGGCAAGACAACTCCACATTAAATTGCATTTAGGACTATAATCATACTTACTATTCATGGCTGAAAATAGAACTTTTCCTTTTTTAAAGCCTTTCACACACCCTGCTTTTTATCCTAATCTCCCCCCTCTTGCAGTCAGGAGTCTCGAATTAAATAAGCCGAAAAATTCATGACTGAAGTTAAACATGAGCGAACAAACAGCGCCAGGGGATAATACACTGACACCGCCAGCCTCGCAAGCTACGTCGTTAAAATGAATTGCTATACGTGGATCGACGGCTAATATAGCGGCAGATGAACAACTTTAGTTATACCTGCACTGGTTGATGTCAGTAATACCTGCGCTGGTGATTTCATTATTTATATTGTATTATATTGAATTCTTCAATTTTAAGTTAATAAAAAAGACGACCTTCCATTAATGTCATTAGTAGGCATTAATTATGATCCTATTAGTTAGTACAATATTAGACTTTTACAAACACATTTTTGAACGATGCCAAACATCCATTAATTATCGTTATCAAAAAAACCCCAAGAAAACATCCACATATAATTTTTTGTCAATATCGCACACCCCTACTTTACTCTTTACTCCTCTCAGCCATCATTCTTGCAGAACTCTCTGCATGTGTCTTATTAAGACACACAGAGAGAAGGGAGGAAACCAGAAAAGTTTGAGCTGTTTTTGAGTTTTTGTGTGTGTGAATGTGAGTGTGCAATAAATCAAGTGGGACACTCACTCCTGCATAGAACATCTTGTTGCGGAAGCGACTGTTAAACTTTTCTGGGTTGGCCTCTGGAAAGACGCAATCAGAAAGGAGGAGAGAAGAGGAGAATACATTAAATATGTTGCAAAGCTAGTGGAATTAAAAAGTGAAAAAACAAAACTACAGAGGCGAGAAGAGTAAGACAGGGAGTAAATCTGACTCATTTGTGCATGCATGAATGCTCGTGTGTATCTGAATGAGTCCTTTTTAATAATTTATTTTATTCTGCTCATCTTTCTGTGGAGTAGGGTGCATTAACGGGAACGAGAAAGACTTAATGGAATATAAACAGAGTTAATACAGGGTGAAATGCAAAATAAAGACATTAAAATAGATTTCACAGACCTCTGGACTCGTGGAACTCCAGGGTGACATGAGCGTCGAAGCCCAGGCTGAAGTAGTTGTTGAACACATTCAGAGGTAGCTGAGGATGCAGGAAAGAACCTTAAAGTGAGTGTTTTGCATAAGTATTATACAATTTATTCACAGAGACAGCTCATATCCATGTATACGGTACAGTACTTTCCTATCCTATTATAATGTCCATCCATCTAGTGATACCCATAACCCAAATTTACTTACTTTAACTACTTTGTAAACATAAGTCTTTAATCTAGGACATTTTCTGTATGGATTTTTTATTACTACTACCTATGAAGCAACTACAGGACATGCTTTATATTTCTCACCTTTGTCAGTGCAGATGCAGATTATTGCTAGCATTTGATATTACTTTGTGTAAGTGCATTTTTCAGAGAAGAAAAAAGAAACAATGTGCAGGTTGGATGAGCTGCAGGAAATACATTGTGACAAACAATAATGCAATATGCAATGGCCCCCTACCTCCTGAAAGATGCTATAATAAAAGTCCTGCACATAGTGGCTTTAACTTCAGCCTTATCCTGGGCTCTTAACTTTCAAATAAAATGTCAACCCTGTAGTCCAGCTTTTTCCACTATCCTCACAATGTGGCAGTGTGTGTAAACCTTTTTTTTAATGTATATATATATATACACCATAACAGCCAACACAGACTCCAAGCAGACTTCTGACCTTCTGTGTGCCCTCCTCTGGCTGCGCAGCACTTTTCTCTACTAGAAGGTTCCACCTGTCCAGCTGCACCACCGAACCGTCCTCCACGTGACATAAAACCTTGGACACTGGCTCATCTGTGTAACCCTGCAGAGAAAGAGGCGGTCACAAATATATAGATAGATAGAGAAGGAGGGAATATACATTACATAACATATACAGCTTTGTACCGGTGAAGTAAAATTAAACATTTTCCATCAAGGATGTTTTCTTGTACATGACAGAATATGTGTGGAGGTAACATTATTTATGTAGTTGGCAAAACCATCTCACCACAAGGTCCACTTAGTAGCTATTCTGGAGCTTTCAATCATATCACAAGATCTTCCTCAGCAGTAGAGTTGCCCAGTTGTCATGTCACTGAGTAAGACAATGTGATATGATGTGTGAAGCTCCAGATCATCTGCTACTGAAGAGACGTTGTGGTGGGTTGTGCTGTTTCTGTGGTCGAGAATGAACTTTAAAAGTTAACTTTAAAACAAAATCAACAAATAGTCCTTGAAGTACTCAAGAGGAATGAAAATTTAAACATCTACAATCTAACTACCAATGGGCAATGTGCTGAGGACAACCATGTGATACCCTCAAAAGCTCCAGAACAGTTACTTAAGTAAGTGGTCCTTGAGGTAAGACTGTTTTGTTGACTGCTGTTTCAGTTGTCAGAAGTGGACATTATTTATACAGTGCTTATTAAAAATGAAAGGAATAATAATAAAAGACGACACAAAAACTATGTCTATGATCAAAAGGGAAGCAAGAGGATGAAAGAGAGGAAATAGAAGTAAAGGGGATGGAAAAGAGGAAGAAAACAAGAAAGTGGGGAATGAATGGCTAAAAAATAAGGTGCAAATGATTGGGATGAAAGATTATGTGGAAATAAGAGAAAGGGGGATGAAGGGGTGATGTTGTCTATCGCTAACTAATGGCTAGTATCTGTCGCATCGCTGAGGTCTCTCTTTCCCGCCTTATCTCCTCGCTAACAAGAGCACAACAAACACACATGTACTCAGCTCACAGAAAAGACACCTTTCTCCTCCCTTTATCCTACCATCAATCCATGTCTGTCTCCTTTCCTGTTCTTCACTCCATCCCATTAGTTATTCAAGGTCTCTCTAATGGAGAATATTTTGTCTTGTTTTCAGTATTCTCTCCATCCTCTATCTCTCTTTTGAATTCTTTTTTATGTTGTGTCTCCCTCTGGACAAGGTCAGGAAATCAGTGTACCAAGGACTGCATGGAGTGGCACACACACACACACACACACACACACACACACACACACAGCAGAGCTCACAACGGGACACATGACAAGTCACAGAATCATTCATACTCACACAGAGAGAGAGAGGTAGGGAAGATTCAGTGGTGAATAACACAACTGAGTGCCAGAAAGAGAAGGAGGAAAGGAAAAGCAAAGAAAAGCAGTGGGAGGAAATGAAAAAAGCAAAAAAGTGAAAGCAAAGGGAAAAAAATTTAAAACAAAAAAATTGACTCCTCAACCATCACTCCAACTATTGTGCCGCTTTGTTCAATACAAGATAAGGAAAATCAAGCCCTACCTAACTCGGTAAGCTACCCAGCTTCTGCTGCAGGCCATGGTAATCTCTCGCCTCAACTACTGCAATGCCTCCGAGCGGGTCTCCCAGTTTGTGCAGTGAAACCCCAACAAATGGTCCAGGACGCGTGCTGCATCTGGTTTTCAATCAACCCAAAAGGACTCATGTCCCCACCCCACTCCTCCACTGGCTACCCATGGCCACCCCAATCAAATTCAAGTCACTAATGCTTGCATACAGAGTGACCAGGTATCTATTCCATTGATGCAGCGTTAAGAGTTGTACTATCAGCATTGCTGCTCTTAGTAGTATCTATTGTTACTCGCAGATCTCTTATTTTACTGATACTTGGATGTTGTTCCTCAAATGTAAGTCACTTTGGATAAAAGGCAAATCAGTAAATGCAAATATCAGTTTTAGAAAAAAAAGGGAAGAAATTAAAGGGTAAAGAGGACAGGGGAGATACATAAGGATATAGGAGGAGGAAAGTGAAGAAAAGGGAGGAAAATAAAATAGAATAAATAGAAGAAACTAAATTGAGAGGGAGAGGAGAGAGAAGGACAGGAGGAGAAAGGAGGGGAAAAGACAGGGTGGATAAAAAATGAAATATAGGACAAAGAGGACACACTAATTACACTAATTACAAACATGGTAGATATGAATTTCCACTCAGTCCCATCCTTGTTTAAAGCATCTGAAGCCTAGTTCACACGACACCATTTTTAGCCCGATTTGTCGGTCGGAGAGCTCGGTGACCGTCAGGCTGTGATCAGGGGTAAATCAGCGATCATCGTCGTTACGTGTGAACTACTCAACGACGCATCAAAACGTCTCCCCGACACATCGCTGACACATCGCAGATGCCAGCCAGATATCTAGCATGCAAAATATCTGGAGGAGTTGGACGACTCGACATCCACATCCAGCCAATGAGAGCAGGCAGCTACTTTTTCCCTGCAAAACACTTTTAATCACCTCCAGCTCTCTCTATAGCTCAGACAATCCCTGCACGCTGCATGTGCTAATCCATTCTTTCACCAAGATTATTTGTCTTTATAATAGCTATTGTTATAATAACAAACACATGTAGTGAACGCCACAAAGACTTCAAGTTGGGTAGTGTAAACGGCACGGCCATCGGCCGACACTGAAAGTTGTCTAGTCTGCACGAGCCTTTACTCTCTCTGTCTCAGGACATCTTCAGCACAATCCTGAGAGTCAATTACGTGTCGATGGCCCATCGATCACATTAAGTTAGAGCAAACTACTGGCATTATGATACTGAAGTGAATGATATTTGGGTCTCAGGAGTTTGGGTTCATGCCCTCATCTCTGAATAGCCCAGTCTCCCCAAAACAATGTGTATTCCTTTATGAATATATGTCCATCATAGTGCAGCTCAAGCCCAAGGCAACATACTGTTCCAGAAAAATGTAATAAAGTTATTGTAATGTAACAAAGAAAACATATCTTTATGTAGACCAAGAAACTGAGAAAATGTTTGATATCATCAGAAAAAGAATGAAAAGGAAAATAAATGACATACCATTTCAGGTTTTGACTCATACAGAGAGACATTTCATGTATTATCATCGCTACAAGCCCACATAACTGCTCTAAAGAAAAGCCTAATGTAAGAATGTGGGTGCTTGTAAAAGGTCTCATCTTCTATGTTGCAGTACAGTTATGCAATGTGTATGTGTGTGTCAAAGGGCAGATTCTTGGTGCTTCAGCACTTCACCTTATTTTAGTAACAAACTTCAAGAGCCCAAAGTGCCTTTCTACAGAAGAATGCTGTATTTTAAGTTTCAGCAGGGCCTGAGATTCGCTTTATAAAAAGAGAAAACAGACTCCGGGACCAGCTTGTGATTGTTGTCATTTGTGGTCACCACTGGCCAGTTTGATTATAGTTTCAGTGTAATCTACGTGTATCCACCTTTATATACAGTATATTTTATTAAGTTTACAGTATATGGCGAACCTGTTAGTGTAAAGTTGCTTATTACATTAGTAACATCTGTTTTAGGGGTTGTGTCACCTTATTAATGTAAGTCCAATATTCACTCTCTTTTAGCTCTGTTTTTGGTCTCTACCAATTCCTGAGGGAAAAATCTGGTTGTTTAGCTGCTGAATGCTCCACTATAATCACCAGCTATGTGCTAACTGTTTCTTTCTGCTGCTGAGCAGGTCTTGTGCAGTGGCTTTTTAAAACTTTGTCTCTGAAAACAGCTGCCTTCAGTGGCTGAAAACAACCCTATAAGAGCGGTGAGATTTAACCAAAGCAGTGAAGTTGCTAAACAATCAGCTAAAAGCCGAGCGGAGCTGCAGATTCAGGTGATAATTCTCTCTAGGTTCATCACTACGAGCAACACCTTTCACATTGTTTTCACATTGATACAGTTACTATAAAACACTGATTATAGCCAATACTGTGATTCAAGTGTCCATTACAGAGCGGTAGCACTGAGAAACCAAACAAATTACTAATTATTACAGCCTTAAAAGAAAAAAAAAACATATTCCAGTGTCAACTAAGCTGACAAACACAAAAAGTATAAATACCCTGTATTGTCCAATTTGACCTTTAGATTTCTAAACTCCAAAAATGGAATTAAAAAGGAACTGCTAAAATGTTGTGTTTCAGTGTAGAGGACACACTGCTGTGATGCTTTCCCATAGCAGGAAGACTATTTTCAGTGAACCACTAATGTGGTTTTACTGTCTGACGAAGAAAGAGAAAATATTATCTGCAGCACTAACACAGAACAGACACAGGATAAAGTAAACTAAACTAAATGTCAACAACGACTGTGTCATCTTTACTTGATGTGTTGTGCCCTGGAGGGGTCAGACAGTGGCTAAATGTCAGGGTTTAGAGGATGAGTTACGCAGGAAGAACTTCCTGGAATGTGGGCCAGCTTTTCTGTAGCTCCCAGAGGTGTCGAGGAGGTAAACTTAAGATTTATTTTAACTATATATAAATATTTGGCCATATTCGGCATAATGCATACACTAATTAGATCTTTATTTACATTTAATTATTAGATATTTTCATTCTTTTATTTGTCTAGATACCCTGGTGATGTTATTGTTCATATATGCTGTGTGTGTTTTTTGTGTGTGTGTATATATATATCTATCTATCTTCATTCACACATTTCTAATTAAGTTATGTTGGAAGGTAGCATTGTTCTTGTTATTTTATTTTTCTCAGCTACATCTCAATATAATTTTCCAGCTGCAATAACCCCAGAGATATTTACACTTTCATTTAACTTTAATATTACTATGTGGATGAAGGACCTGAAGTCATTAAAGTGACAAAACAGACACTTGTGAATGATTAAATACAGAGAGGAGAAGCTGCTATATCCTGCCACTGTCAACTTTGTGGCAGAAGTCAAGGCTAGGAACTCACCCCGCCCCAGTTGAGCGTCCTGGCGAGGTCATTTCCTGTTCCCAGAGGAAGAACAGCGACCGGGGGCTGGGGGTTCATCTGTAGCTCATCTAGAGTGGACAGGATCCACCCCACCTACAGGGAGATGTACACAAAAAAGCATAAGCTGCAGAGATTTAGAATAGGATGCAAGTAATAGGAATAGATTATAAAAGAATAGAGTCGTACCGTGCCGTCCCCTCCGCAGGCAAGGATCCTCAGATTTGGCACTTTCCGATACAAATCCAACCTGACAATATAAAAGTTCACAAAGCCGAGAGAGGCCTGGTTGTAGAATAAAAGCGGCTTACTCAGCAGAAAGCAGTGCTGATTGGTGTTAAGTGGGTATAATTGGTCCAAGTTTCATGAAAATTGCTCAACCCATGAGTAGTGTATTTGAATAAAAGAGGATAATGACTAAAATTGAAGTGAGAGGATACAACAGTGGATTGTGATAATAATGTGATGTGAAATGATGACTTTAAGTAGAAAATTATTACTAAGTAGGCTATAGAAAACAAGATTAATGGCATTTAAAGGCATTCTCAGGAATTGTAAATAAGGCAGAGTACAAAAGTCAGCCAGTCTATTCCAATGTGTCACGTTGACTTTAACCCTGCACCGTTAACAAGGGTTATTTCTAATAAAAGCTCAACACTGTCCCAAGTAATGGGTACTTACGCCTCTCGCAGCCCACCCTGTGACAGGTCAAAGACTTGTCGAGGGTTCAAGATCCACATGAACATCTGTAACACCTTGGCACCCTGCAGAGAAAGAAAGATTTTCCTAATATAGTTTGTTTTACACACCTAGAATTGAAATACTTGACAAGTACAGTCACAATTGCACAACCGTAAACCCCATTATAATTGTGTGATTACTACCAAACTTCTCTGTAATTTAAATCTAGCATCATTTTATAATGACGATGATGAATCCTGTTTGAATCTACACCTTTCTATTCAAACATTATGTCATTAGCAACTGGATTGTAATAACTCGTGTTGCCTTCTGGCCCAAACAGCCTGATGACAGCTAAGCAGAAATATGTTATTCCTGAGCCACTGACACACTGCTGAGATGCATAGAGTGGAGGTGTAAATTAATAAAAGACAGATTTATTAAGATCTGATAATGTCAAGATGCAAGATCATGTTGATATCTCTTGTATGGTGGTCTTCTGTAGAAAGGTTGTAAGCAAAATTCACTATCATAAAATTTGTCTTTTTTAGCAATGTAAATGATTTACAGACATAGGGGAAGTAGTTTTTACAGGGACTTCAAATGAGGCTAGCTTGAAGGTATCTCAAACAGATAAAAATAAAAATAAAACATTTAAAGTTTGTTGACCTGGTTGCCCCCACTCTTGGGATTCACAAACACCAAGATGGGCTTCATGAGAGGTGAGGGGAGAGGCTTCAACATGAACGGACGCCATTTAGACTCCTAAAGACGAGAAAGAGGAAGAAATAGAAAAGGTTAGACAAAGAAAGATGTGCAAAAAGTGGATTCTAACAGACTAATGAATCACCAACTATCAAACAAAAATGTCAAACATTCACCTCTAAAATCTGAGGATTGTAGAATTAGTAATGGAAATGTTTCACTTTGTTGTGCCATTGCATAGTTTAAAAGAAGTAGTAGTAATAATAGTATTTTTATATAGCACTAATAAAAATCAGCACTTAGAAAGTGCTTTGTAAAGGGCAGGCATAAGGCTATACAATAACTGAAGTGAAAACAGTGCAAAATTTAGCACAAAGAGTAAGAAAAAAGGACTAAATAAAATACCAAATACACACATACATTATCTGTTTCAATGTATATAACATAGACAGTACATATATACATGCATGGAGACATATAATGGGTTCCTACACATTTTCCATTTAACAAATTCCATATTTTCCCCCACATTTTAGTACAAATACTTTTTATTTATTTATTTTTTTTGGTTTTTATTATGTAAATAAATGGTTCAAATCCAACTATTCACATAAATGTTACATTCGGACTATGCATGCTATTATGCTGAAAAATAATTGCAGCCAGGTACAAATGTAATTTGTAATTGTAGCGCATACAAATGAATTAAGAGCTGTTCTGCAGGCTGTGATGTACACATGTAGAGGGCAATAGTGTGGAATCACAAATATTTAAAAACATTTTTTCATTCCTCTCCAGATTACTCAAATCAATTTATGTACACACACGGTAACATTTGCCTAATTAATGAACGAGTATAAGAAATTGAATTATCATTTAAAAACATATTAATGATGATTCTAAGGGACATAATCATTTGTTGCACCCCTAGTAATACATCTACACAGACAGTTAATTGATGTTCATTGATCTATGTTGTCAAAGTAAGTATCTGACAAACCTCATGTGGTCAAGATACATGGCTTGTATTTCGTGTTAAAGTTAAATAAATCATACATTTTGCGGTTGTATATGATGCACATGCTACTTACATCCAGTCCCTTCTTGCTTGTCCTTCGTTTGAAAGACGTCCGCTTTTTTCTCCTGGCAGAGTTCTTAAGTGAGCTCTAGGGTCCACACACACACACACACACACACACACACACACACACACACACACACACACACACACACACACACACACACACACACACACACACACGCACACAGAGTTCAACGGTTAGTTCACTGTCACACCCCTTGTGATGGTAATTAAAAGTGCAATGAAGCATGTGATGTGACTGAGGGATATAATGTTTATGTGTGTGTGTGTGTGTGTGTGTGTGTGTGTGTGTGTGTGATGGCGGGGACACAAACCCAGAGTTCCCTCAGACAGATCAGACATGTGTCAGCTCATATCACATCATAGCCAAAAATCACACACACAAATCATATGTCAACACGTACACACACAGTTTTTGACACTCGCCTTCTTTTAGAGTTTTAAATTTAGATCCAACAAAGTCATTTCTCGTTACTGTCACAACATGACAGCTAGTGAACTTTATCAACCAGTGGACTGACAGGTGAGTGATGCCAGTGATGGGAGTGTGTGTGTGTGTGTGTGTGTGTGTATATATTAGAGGTTACGATTCTCCAAATCCATGATTCAATTCAATTTAAACATTTCTTTTTCAGAATCTGCCAGAGCAAACTATCTAAACTTGCTAGATAACCGTGGCGTCAGTGGACAGCGAGGGTTGATCAAAGAACTGCGATGCTTCTCGCAGCTGCAGGCTGGCGGTAAGCTACGCTTGTTGTCTTTCGAGTGCACAAGCAGGCAGGGGAGGAGAGATCCCACTTTTGATTTTGTAGGTCGAAATCAAAAGCTAATTTCGATAGATATTTGATTTCGATTTGAAATCGTGAAACCCCTAGTATATATATGTGTGTGTGTGTGTGTACACCTGTGGTTTCCTGACTTTGATGATCCAGGACGGTGGCACTATGACTCCAGCATGGGCCCCCAGTGAACACGGCTCCTCAATCTGGTGTAGCATGAAACACGTCACCTTATTGTGAAACTGCAACAAAAAAACTCCTTGTTAATATTTATTCTGTTAATTATTAATTTTATTGTGTGTTAAATGAGACACGTGACTTTCTTGTAGATGTGGAAATAATAATAGTAATAAATAATAATAACATACATTTGGTCTGAAGTGCAGAAGCTTCTTGTAGTATTGCATATTTAAGATGTGAAACCATATAGTTATTTCAGTGAAACTCAAGTACTGTATTTAAGTAAAGTACCTTGAATTTGTGTTATGCAACTTTATACTTATACACACATCTACATTAAATATTGAACTTTTACTTTTGTATGATGGCTTTTTTCTTTGCTACAAACATCAGAAAATGATGCATTGCTGCAACAGTATATAAAGTAAATAAAATTAACTCAACCATAAACATTTAACATTAGTAAATCTTATTTGATTTTATTTTATCCCTTTTATTTTTATTGTATTTTACTAATTTTATATTTATCTGTATTTCAGTCTTTTCAATGTTTTCTTGCTTTTATCTTGTATTGTTTTTGTATTATTGTCTCTTGGGTATTATTGTCTTTACACTTGTTAAAGCACTTTGTTTTTGAAAAGTGCTCTACAAATAAAGATTATTATTATTATTATTAAAATGCAACACACTCATTAATACAGCAGTGACATTAATCTAAGAATATCATATATAATAGTAAAACACTGACCACAGGGACCATCTTACTGCAGAATGATTACTTTTACTTTTGATACTTTAAGTACGGTTTGCTGATAATACTTTTACCTTTGAATCCAAGACTTTTTCTTGCAGTGGAGTATTTTCACAGTGTTGTATAAGTACGTGTACTTAAGTAAAGGACCTGAATACTGGGAACTAAATACTATTTCTTTAGCGAAGCTTGCTTGAGGCTCATATTTTTTTAGTGAAATGTTATTGGAAATGTTGTATTAATTTTATAAAAAGTTAATCATCTATCTTATCAAATAGAATATATGTACATCTTTGCTTTACTCTACAGTGATTAACCAGAGGATGAAATACTTACAGCCTGTTTACACCAGGAACAACTGATGGCGATGATTTCTTTACTGTGGAAGAACTTCTGTTGAAAACTCTGCAGAAACAGACAAAAATACACTGAGGCAGTCTGTATGAACAATAATAACTGAGAGCAACATGTGTGTGTGTGTGTGTGTGTGTGTTACCTTTCCACATTGTCTACATTTCCCCTCCTGTCTTCGCCTGTGAACCCAGTGATGTCTCAGTATGTTCTGCTGTCAGAGAGAGAAATGCTAAACATGTTCACGTTTTCTCTTCACATACAGTGTAAACAGGACATGTAAAAAAACCCAAAAAAACAATTCCTTTTCTCACATGTGGTCACGCACATGTTTACACACACAACATCACACACACGTACACACACTTACATCTCTGAGGCACCGGGATCCTCCCTCTCTGAACGTTGGCTTGCATCGGAAGTTAATCTAGAAGGAGACAAAGAAATAAAAAAATATTCAGACAACAAATAATGTCTGTCCCAAAAAATGTGTTAGCATGGAATGGAATATATATATCTATACTAATACAATGACACTGAAGTATATCCTTAGACAAAAAGTGCTTTTTGAATTATATTGTTTCTTCATAATGACAAAAATCATAAAAATCAATACTGTATGTCAGGACATACCTTTTCATACTGAATATCATGTCTACATTTAATAAAAGGAATAAAAATAACACAGAATCTAGACACAAAACAGGACACATTTTTCTGTTCTGTCCAAACTTTCACTTTTCCATCAACTTATCAGCCATATTAATCTGTATGGCTGCTTTTACACAACCAATAAATGTCAACTTGCAGAACTTATTCACTGAGAATTTCTTATGGCAGACCCTAATCATGTGTTGCAGATGACAAATTTCATATTTGGATTTCTCTACAGGTGTCACCAACACCTTTAACTCATCTGTCTTGATGTTAAGTGGCAGTCGTTGTTTTTGCCTTTTTTTTTTATGTTTCTGTATGTTTCAATGTGAAAAAACAACGGTTACAAGATTGTTTAGCTTGGCAAGATGAAAAAAAGAAGCAATGGATGCTAGGTAACAGCCATGAAAGTTCATAAGCGATGTTGGATTGAGTGTTCAGGATTTCCCAACCTGAGATAAGACAGGATTAGGAAGATAAGAGGTCCTGCAGTGAGTTGGGATTTGCTTCTGTAATACCAAATTGGGAAAAATCCTGTATTAGAGTCTTTTCCTAACTTAACTTAAGTTTCCGTAATAAGAATGTGCGCACCTCACGCATACTTCAGACCAGGCGTACACTTGTTTTCTAGAGCCAGCTGCAGGTGGTGTGAAATATAAGGCGAGAAACAATCTAAATAATCAGTGTTCAGTAAAATGCAATTGTAAGCTTGGGTGATGAAAATCATTCTTTTTATTTACATTCAGGTCATTATTTCCCTGTCAATTATCTTTTCATTTTATCCTGAAGTTGGAAGTAGTTTAATAAGAGGTGTATAAATTAATCACTGCTCAACTAATAATGATGACAGAGATATCACACAATGATGGTTTACAGGTATGAATTAGTAGTGAAGGCGGTATAAATAGGCACAACCGTAAATGATGGTTGCACGTAATGACAGCTGCTCTGGTGCTGTTGAAGAACCGGAAGTTGCACTTTATTGATGTTTTCATTGACAGGTTTAATGAGTGGTGAAGCAGGCAGAACTTTCGATATGTAAATGAGTGATTCGGAGGCATATAAGTCCATTTATGGCGAACTGTAGGAGTGGAAATGAGGCTTGTGCATGTGAACCAAGTTCCACAATGATTGAGATTTCTAAAACAAAACCCGGCGTGTGTGCGGCTTCATAAATCTGACGAAAAGAATGTGTCTACAAAATTATCTATTTGTGTGTGCACAGAGTTTTAGTGGTGAATCTACACAGAGTTTTATGCATTTGGCCCCTGGTGTTGAGTAGAACTGCATCCTTTAGAAGAACTATAATAGCCTACAAATGTACTGTGCAAGTTACTGTGTGTGTGTCATACCTTTTCTAGTTGCTCTATGCAGCCAGAGTGAACAACGATCTTACAGGCAGCACACTTCTTCCTGGGGGCAGACTTCTTAAAGGAGAAAACAGACAAACAGCACAGAGGGCGGTCAGATACACAACAAACACAAGCAGTGCAAGAATGCACACTGATGATATGCGTACCCGGAAATGTGTGTTCAAGGTGCTCCAAAACATTTACTTCTCTTCCCATTCAGTTGAAAACGCTTTAGATCAGGACTCAAGATGATAAAATACATGAATTATGTTTGCATTATTTTTTTTTATGTTGTTGATGGCTCTGAGAGTAAAAGGCTGATCTGTAGCACCATTAAACTGCACTCGTGTCTACACAAAATGATCTTTGTCTTCTAACAGCCCAGAGTACAGATGAACTTTAACTTAAAAGGAATAGTTTGACATTTTGTGAAATACGCCTGTTGTCTTTCTTTCCAAGAGTTTGATGAGAAGATTGACAGCTGTCCCTTAAATATGAAGCTACAGCCAGGATAGTTTTAGCTTAGCTTAGCATAAAATAAACAGGAGGAAATAGCTAGCCTGGCTCAGCACTAGCTCTAAAGTTCACTATTTAACAAGTAACAAAACCGAAGTGTAAAAACAACACATTGCTGTTTTACATCAGTGAGATTTATGGGTGTTGGTGGGCAGATAGTTTTACCTTTAGACACAGGCTACCGCATAAAAACAGAGTTTCAGTCACATCGTTTGGCCGTTCTGAATGTTAGAGCATCTTGCTTCCTTGATTTGATGGATTTCTTGGTAAAGGAAGGTTGAAATGAAGGACAATGATGGATCTTTGATAAGTTAACTGCAACAACGGAGGAACTTGTTGACCACACGGTGGCTTTTTTTGTAGGTATCGTTTGCAAGCTGATCTTTATGACTCTTTTGTATTGAGGGTTTACATAATCCAATACAATCATGGTTTAAAAAGTGTTTGTTAGCAGAGAGTCAGCCATTCAAGTAATTGACAAAGTCTTTAAAAGGCCACAGTTTTACGAAATGGAAAGGAAGTATGACCCTATTGCATATGACACATTGCACAATACCTAAGGAGCAGTGGTTTGGTTGTTTGGCTCAAGGGTTAGAGAGTCTCAAGAAGGTGAGCAGGATTATATTTCACTGCTTACTAACAGGAGTATATATAGGAGAGCTTTTCCCGATCTTATTTGACTTTATTTTATCCCTTTTATTTAATGTATTTTACTAATTTTATATTAATTTTTCATGCTCTTATCTTGTTTTTGTTTTATTTTTATTTTTTGTATTATTCTTTACACTTGTTAAAGCACTTTGTAACTTGTTTTTGAAAAGTGCTCTACAAATAAGGATTATTATTATTATAACATACTGTACTTAAGCACAGTTTTGAGGTACTAGTACTTTACTCGAGTGTTTCCATTTTTTAGCTGCAACACTCAATTTCAGACGGGATGTTGGCTTCAAGTTTCGTTTAGTGTTTGTCTCATATTTATCGTTGTTTTGTTGTTTTCTAAAGAAAGTTTGACTACATTGTCTTGATTAAGTCTTCTAGTACAAAGTAGACAAGCTAACAAGGCTACACAAAATAGTCCACTGACGTTTGACTGTCTTTGTAGGTCATGTGACCTCTATGCAGGTCATAGCGGCCCCAGCAGAGTCTGCCTGCAAACTACTGTGAGAATTCATCCACAGAGGTGACAGATTTTCTCTGAATCTCACATGATTTTCAGAGTGGAGTTTAAAGCTTCTGCAGCTTCTGTCAGGCTGCCAGGTTTTTACTTCATGATTTGAGACTCGTTCAGTCATATCTAGCTGAGCACAGGTAGGAATGTGTTTATTCACGTCAGCCGTGACTCGTCAAAGCAATCTGAGATTCCAGCAAGGCCAGGTTGCCCTTTTAAGAAGCCAAAAGCAAGTGGCAGTGATGGAATATTTATCTAATTGAGTACATGACAGAGATTATAGCGAATTTATTTTTGCTGCAGCTCCATCTTACTAGCAGCAGTCTCACCATACTTTTATACACTCAGTGTAATTACACACCATCAGTGAAAATGTACAGATGTGTCATTACATTATTGTCAGTACTAAAGGTTATTTCTCAGCTCTCTGTTCCAAGTGCTGTCGCTGGTTGTAAGAGGTGTTTAAATGGAGAGAGGGTCCCTAATACCTGTAATTTAAACACATTCTACATAGCTCTGCACACCAGTGGTAAATGTGAAAGTTCACTCTCTCTGTTTTCTGAGTGATTTGTTCTGCAGCTGCTGTGTAGACATGCTTTGTAGACACGGTTCATCTGAGTGTGTTATCCTGTTTAACATAACGGTAAATTACTAGGCTGCACTGACTGCATATTGTTTATTGTTATGCACCAGCCTACCAAACCAAATTCCCGTGTAAACCTACTTGGCAATAAAGCTGATTATGATTTTCATTTAAGACTAGAAGCATACGATACGCCCAATTCCCAGAACGCTCGGACCACCTGTTCTGTCCGTGAGCAATGAGTGAGCATGATTTGACTTCCTGAATCATGAAGGGGAGATGGAGTAGACCATATTTTATGTATGTTATTTTTATATTTTGTTGTAAATAAAACATTTAATCTAAAATATATGCAACTTTAAATTAGTTACAGGCATGTACAACTGCACTAAAATAACAGTTTTTGACTTCTGACTGAACAGTAAGATTTCAGTTATTTGTTAAGTCCAAATTTTCGTGTGAAATCCAGAATGAAAACTTTACAACAGCTGCAAACAATAGTTGCAATACTGTGGCATTACATTAACGTGTATCATCAATATCAAATCATACCAAATGAAATGACTAGCAGTGCTTATTACAGTCCTGCGACAGCCACAGATACAAGATTTTTAAAATGTTAGTGTGAGAGCATTTGTTTTATTGATTGCTGTTGTGATGTAAAAAGAGAATTTCAACATATATAACAACAACAAAAAATGCTTCTGAAATATATTGACTACCGCAGAGATAAAAAGACCTGCTTTGAAAATATGGACCACTTTAAAATCAAATATTAGATGTCTTCCAGTCAGTGTTGTCAATGATACAAAGAACACGCCGCAGGTTTATCTGTGTAGCACCTTTCAACAACAAGACAAGTGCTTTACATAAGACAGGATTAACTCTTGTTTGTATCATTAAAACTGCTCTCAATATTTTTTAAAGTGATATTTTCCACAGGCCAGCTATTAGATTTGCATAGGCTTATTACTTGTGGATAGAAGGTCAGAGCAGAGGGCTGCAGACCGGTACCAGGCCTCAGAACCATTTACTGGACAACAATGAAAACATATGATTAAACATTTTTATTTAAATAATTAAATAAACTTTTAAGGCAAAGTCTGTAAATACTTAGGACAGTCTGAGGCAAAAAGTCCGTCATGACCCCCTGTCATCATTCAGAAGTACATGAAATCTGTGACAGAGGTCTATTTGTGTTAGTAATTTAGAAAGGAACTATGGGCGCTGTCTCTATTGCAAAAACTAGTGGGACTGAGACTGTGTCTTCTAGTGTGTGCACTGATGGGGAGCGGAAAACAATTTTGATATTGGCAACATAAAAACTGTCTGTTGTCCCCCTGGGTATTACTTTTTTGTATCAATAAATTCATCAATATATGGATTTACAGAACATAGCTGCATATTTAAAAACATGCATGAGTATATACTATGTAATAGTATACAATATAAAATCTAAACATAAAAATATCTGTAAAAAATACCTAAATCGTTTTACAATTTGCGTCTCCCATCCCACATATACTCACACCCCAATGGCAGTCAGCTGTTCTAACCACCAGGAGCAGTTTGGGGTTCAGTGTCTTGGGAAAGGACAACAGGTGGACAGGAGGGGATCAAACCACCAGTCATGTGATTAGCGGAAGACCCACTCTACCTCCTGGGCCACAGCTGCAACCTTTAAGTATAACTTGTTGAGTATTTGGTAAGATTTTGTCAAGTCTGCATATGCTGGTTGGTAAAATTTGATCTTTTTATCGTGTTTATCAAGTTTATTTATCAATTCTATTTATAGCATTTTACTTTTAGCTCCATTCTTACTTTTTTATTATTTTTGTTTGTTACTGTGTTTTGTATAAAACAAGCTGCTCTAAACAAATTGTCCCAAGTGGGATTAATAAAGTTTATTTTTATTGTATTGCAGTACATTTCAACATAAGATTCCATTTCACCACATACTAAAGCATTTGTATTTGTACTGTACTTTGGTTTAATTATATTTGGGCCTAGGTCCATTGTATGGACTGTTTTACATCTGTTTTACATCTGTTTAATGCTATTTTCCATGAATCCAAAACAACACAATAAAACTAAGATAAAATACTAGCATTCAATTTGGATACTTACTAACGTCTCAGAGGCTAAAGGCTTTTTAACTAAACTTACCATATAAATGTCACTGTATCTCACACAGGAGTGGTCAGCGTGTACACTACTCACTGCAGTCTTTAGTAGGCAGGTGTCTTCTCCGAGATAACAGAGCTCTCCTGAACAACTCGTCTCCATCCACAGGTGATCCCCATTCACTGCATTCTCCTGCAGAGGCACAGACAGAGGGAGAGAAACAATGATATAATAACTCACATTATCTTTGCATCTCTCACCTAAGACTATTTTCGCTCACATTAAACTGCAACCATATGCACATAAACAGTCTGCAGTGAGAGCGGTCAACAAGTGTGTCAAGCACATAATTGTCGCTGCTGAGTAGGCGTGTAATTTCACAGCGCATGTTAATTCAAGGTGCTAATCAAAACACTACAGGAGCTACCGACTCAAGTGCAAACACACACCTGGAGTAAAATACATTTGTATTAGCGACATTTTTGCTGTAAGAGAATGAGTCCAAACAGAATGTACAGCGACAAAAACACTGTGGGTAACAGATCAGTCATAATAGTATGCAATGCAAAGCTTGTTTCCCAAATGCTAGTCTTAGAGGATGGTAATTTATGGACAAAAAGTCGAGATAAATTTGTGTTAAAGAAAGAGGTCTTGCTGTTGAAAGAGCAAAATACACAGTTCTTCGAATTTGCTGCATTGTTGCTGATGTAATTATCGCAGTTTTCATTGTCACATAGCTATTGTTGAAATATTGACAAGTGACCAACTGGCCAAACATCACTGGACTGTGAAAAGAAGAGCCAGAGCTATCTAAGTCTTGTTCTAATCTCTCCCTCTGTCTCTCACTTGTCTCTGACGGTAAATCAGTGCCAAAATTGCTTCTGCCACAGTAGACAATCAGCCACGGTAAATCACATTCAAAGGCAATTTGTAAACATTTCCATTTCCTCCTCTTATTCCTTGCGATCCTACATACAGCAGCGACGCCCAAAAATACATTAATTAAAACAGTTCTACTTTATGCCTCTAACCTGTCATTTTACTAAATGTGAATATTGACAAACGCTATCTAACTCATCAGCATCTAAAAGGGGGCCATAAAGCCGTAGTAAATCATCCCCTAAGTGTTTATTAATAAGTGATTAAGTACAATGATTATAAATGAGTGTGTGTGTGTGTTTGTGTCATGCAGAGAGTTAAAGGCCAGCGATGACGTGGTGGAAGTGTCCCTGCAGACAGAGCCAGAGGGGACTCTCAGATGTGGGCCAACAGCATACATTGTCTACTTATAATTTGCAATTCATAATACAGAGTGTGTTATTTACTCTTCATAATACGATTCGCCCAGAGCCTTATTATACAGTATAATAAACTGTTACAAAAGTGACGGAAAGGTGAGAAATTATTAGTTGACCAAGATCACTTGAAACTTTCAGCCTCCCACACTGACATCCTTGTTTTTGACCATGGTAACACATTCATTTTTATTTGTTTTTTTGATTATTTTCAATGATTTTAAAGTATTTTGGATGCTGTTTGTGTGCCCAAAGTGCCTCATTTGTTTTCTCTACTGAGTCTGGTTTGTTTTAATTGAAATTGCACATACACTAATGATTCTGAGTAAAAACCAGTTTACTCAGTCAAAGTCATTCTTTTCTTGATGAATCAGATAAAAATAGAAGCATGCCTGTCTTCCTTTTGGCCACTTGTAAACAAGGTAAAGTTGGCAGTTATTTCTGCCAACCTTGTTTCAGAAACTCACACTTTCATTTCCAAAATCAATTCTAACAGGGTCTTGTGATAACTGCAGACAAAAACAACAGAATTTGCAGTAGATTTTCCAAAAAATGTTTAAAAATGTCATTTACAGAACTCTTTAAGAAATCACTGTAACTTATTCAGTTTAGTTACTGTTAGACTGTTATTGTCAGATTTAGGAGGTGATAACATCCTGGAAGTAAGCTTTGCCTGAAAAGACATATGAGGAAAATGTCACTCATTACAGAAAATGTCTAACCTTTCTCTTGATTTGACCTTTTTCTGTCAAAATGTTGGCCTTTTACAAAATTGTGAACGATGAAAGGAATATTTTTTGTCATCACAAGATCACAAATTGCCCGGGGTATCAGGTTTGAGTGCTGCAGCTTAAATGCACAAACATGAATGTCTGCATGTCTTGTAAGGTGAAATGGATTCAGCATTTTTATTCACATGGATTTCAACAGAAATAAATATGTCAGTTGTACTTTTTTAACAGCGTAGTTTCATGACATTTTTCAGAGTGCTTTCTATATCAGCTTGGCATTTCCCTAAGCATTAGGCCTTTCCTACATTTCAAAGCAGAATGTGTTTGGAAATTTCTCTTTAACTTTGTCTGTCATTATGTAAATGAAATCCATTAAATATTGCAGAATAAACCCAGAGAAAGTCAAAGCCCATAATGTCTTGACACACTCTCAGTTATCAAGACGAAAAGCAGCAATTTTCTTTTGAGATTCTTATCATTACTTGAAAATTAATGATCAGAAACCCAAAAGAAATTGCTGCTTTTCATTTCCACATGAACATACGGCTGTTGAAACCAGTCTGCTAACAAATCTGTTAACATAAAATCCAAATGTCATTCAATGACTCAGCCAAAAAGGACTACGGAGCCTGGGACAACTGTGTTTTTGTGCAGTATTTGATATATACACACACACACACACACACACAGACACACACACACGATAGATCTACACATAATAGGGAATCACAGGGTACCTCACGATATGATACGATAAACGATACATGGCTCACGATAACGGTAATATAACGATACAGCAATTCTGCGATAATCGATATATACCGCTTGACAATCCTAAAGCGATACATCACGGTATCTGTCTAACTATGAATACAAAATGCCCAGGAAAAAGTTTACTATTTATTTGCTGCAAATCCAAACTGTTATAAAACAGCACAATTCTGCTCAGTCTGTCGATAAAACTATAGGGCAACGATGAAAAATTATTATCAAAACATTTGTTTATAAAAGACACATAAAATGTAAATTCGCTGATTTTTTTTTACATTTTACATTACATTTCATACACATTATATTAATAACTGTTCAGTGACACAGCATTGTGCTACCCTTTCTCTTCCTGTATTTTTAGGCCACTGGGAATATTGGGTTTGAGTTTTGACCCTTTGGGGTTGCTGTAGCTGGTCTTTGTGGAGTGCAGAAGCTGTAGAGTAACGTTAGCAGATCAAGACAGTGAAGTTAGCAGCTCTTTTTTATTTCACACAGAGCTCAGGAAACATGTACTTTAAGTATTTGCACAGTATGTCACTCAGGATGTTCAGGAAGCACTTTTTTAAAAATTAATATTATGGATCGGTATCATGGAAAAATGTACAACGATCTATTGCCGTATCGATTTATTGTCACATCCCTAACACATAATAAAATAATAAACTATTCATAACAGACATTTTCACATTGTACCTTCATTTAGAGCTGGTCTAGACCGCACTCTATACTAGACCTAACCAGTCCCACCATGAGCAAGCACAACAATGGCAAGGAAAAAGTTGCTTTTTAGCATGTTTATGTACAAAAAACTAGAAAAACATAAACATATATGGAATAAATGCACATAAACAAGAAACAGAGAACAAAGAGAAATCTGATAATTATTCATATTCAGTCATTTAAAATGTGTGTATGTGCATGTCTGACCGTCCAGTCCACGCCGGTACGTAGCTCCTTGTTGGGCCCATTGGATGCAGGGGGCAGGGAGGGCTGGGGTGGTCCGAGGTGCTGGAGGCCTGAACGGGAGATTGCTTTCCTAAAAAATAACATGAAACAAACAATAAACTTTTATGGACAATCAAAGCCTGAAATGCCTGTAAAGAGAGGGACAGTGAAGCAGAAATCAACACAGTCATCCTCATGCATGGCACAGCTTTCTCACCAAAGAGCAGCTAAATCACTCAGAGAACTGGATTTTGGTATGATTTAGTATGTAAATTAATTATTCATGTTGTGCGACCACATTTCATCGGGTTCAGCTGGAGATATTCGGTTGAGGAGAAGTGGCAACAGCTTGGAGGAGAGTCTGCCAGCAGCACTTTGGGGTGACAAGAGAGAGACGGAGACAGATCCGTTCTGTCAGAGGATGAGTCAGCAGTCATCTCTCTCTCTCTGTTTCAACTCTCGCCCAGTTATACTTCCTCTTCCCATTTTATACGTTTCTCTGTGTTTCGATGTTCATCATTTCACCATCTCTCTACGTATGCATTAACTGTCCATTTAGTAATTATCAGTAACAATAAACCAGCAAAAGACAATTCTGAAAACCTATTTTCTCATTCAGCTTCTTAGTGTGAGCAATGGCTTCCTACAAGAACACAACATTTCCTGCCAAAGATCTGGTTATTTTACAGGTTAGAGAGTATTTGACTGTATTTGTGCTTTTCTCACTGGTCCAATTTGGAAAAATGTGAGTAGTACTTCTAGTGACAGTTTAAATGTGTGCAAAAGTACAAATCAAATATGATAGCATTTAATCCAATATCAATATATCTATATAGCCCAACATAGTCTTTTTGCCGGCGAACAGTAAACTGCCACTTCTGGATCTCTGACCTCCCTGCCTGGTAAACACCCATGTTATTTAAACTCCACATACGGGTTTCTCTGTTACTTGCAGTCTTTGAGCCCAGGAGGAGAAAACTTCTGAAGACTTTATCCAACTGTTTTCACAGGCACACGGGCTAATGAAGCACATTACCTGATTTCTTTACCTGTTAAACTAATATATAATTGATTTTTTCCCCCAAAACTTAGCTTTGACTGTTGCTTATGTAGTCATGAATATTTAACGCTGTAGAGACATACTTCAGATTAAAAAGTTTTCAGGGGGTCAACATGCATATTAACTTGCTGAAACATTTTTCTGCAATAAAAGAAAATATACTATTCAGTGCACCCAATAAAAAACCCTTAAACTGTTTTCAGACCATGTGACAAGAACACTTACATAAAGGTGCGATGCAATGTCAGTGGAACTGATTTAAATGCACAAAATCACATGAAAGATGTATTTATTACATATACAGTATATTGTCATTTTTTTATATTTACAGATGCATATGTTTGAAAACTGATATGCAGATGCTTTTAAAAGTGATTCCAGAAACATTTTTTAAAGTTTATCTGAATCCATGGAGCCATGGACAATTTCAGACAATGTCTCTTTTGCTATAGGATTGGGTTGACTTTTTGTCATTCTCTATGACAAGTACGTGGTTTTGGTAGGATTTCTGACATTTTGTGCTCAGTACTATATGTGTCATGCTTTCCCTGGCTAAACACGGGTGAATTCCGCATTCACCATCACAGGAGATTACATTGCATTTATTCATTTAGCTTACGCTTTTATCCAAAGCGACTTACAATTGCTAAAAATGTCAGCAACTAGGGGTTAGAGTCTTCCTCGGGGACACATTGGTGGATGTCTTGGTGGGAATCGAACCACGGGTCTACCACATCTGTCTTATCTACTGCGTCATCATCATTATCTTTATCATGGAGTTCAACTAACAGACTGTACTGTAACCATTCACTTTAAGCTGAAACTTAGTTGTTTGGTGCCCAGATCGAAAAGTTAAATCTCACCTTCGGGGAAAACAACAAAAATGGACAAAGCAGATCATGTTTTTGTGTGTATGTACAATATCTGTATATGTTTCACACAAACGTCTATTCTTTTCCAGATATGTTCCAGATATCTATATGAATTCCTAAATTAGGCAGCGTGGCAAAAAAGCACTACTTTTATAGTAAATTGATAATCATGGGAATGAATGAATGAATGTGTGTACCAGTGGAAAAGGTTGCCCGCAGCATCTGACCTCCCTGTTGAAAGTTTCAGTGGCCGTCTGTCTAAATTTATCAACCAGGACAAAGAGGAGTCCACTTACACACAGGGTAACCTGATGACACACCCTGACACGTAAACACACACACACACATATGCATGTACGCGCCCTCACGACTCTTGGGATAAAAATAGTGTTGCGTGGGTGACAACAGGACAAATGCAGGGACGTACTGTATGGTGACTGGACATATGCCACATAGAACAGAGGACTACGCACATAAAACCACACATAAACACAAACATAACCTTCATAAGTCTAATTACATAAATCACTTTTAATGAATTTATATTTTTGGTGTAAATGATTAAGGATGTGTCTTATTTTTGTTGTTTTGTTCATCATTTCCTTTAAGTTTTATAACTTGTACTCACATATTTAACCACTGAGGTCTGAGGACAAGACAACACGCTAGACCCGAGTCCATTAAGGGAAGTAACAAGAGTGGTCAGACAATCAGACAGGTTGTGAACAAACCCGCAGTTATATTGAAACCACTTATTTGGAAGTGAAACCAAAGAAAGTGAACGCATGTAACAGACTAAGGTTGTTTTGTGTGTATACTTAATAAACTTGCTGTAGCTTTTGTTTCATTGTGCTCTGTTTCTCTTTGAGGATATGATATTGTAATGTTTGTTGTTGAGTATATTTTGAAAAATCTACATTTTTCGCACAAGTGAAAATTAAGGAAGCTGTTTTGCTTTTAAGTTGGTGGCTGAAATAATATCATAACTACTAGAAATGAGGGCCAAAAATATGAAAATAAGACTCTGATTATTGAACTAGACTTTGAACATCCAACACACACACACATACGTAACCCCTGTTGCTTATTGCCGTGTGTGAGTGTTGAGCGGTGAGGATTATTATAAACTGATTACGGTTGATCAGATATGAATGAATAAGCTGTGTGTGTGTGTGTGTGTGTGTGTGTGTGTGTGTGCGTCTATTTCATAATGAAACAATACTTGCATGAATGTGAGTACCCGAGTGTGTTTTGTTGCAGAGAGGGAAAGACAGAGCTTCTAAAAAAAGACCCAGCAGCAGCATCAGTGTATTTGACGTACTCATCACAAAATAAGGTAAATGGTAACACACACAGAAACACACACACACACACACACACACAGACACTTTCATTCAGAGGTCATGGGGCACCATTATATTTGAGTGAGTCCTAATCTACTAAAAGCAGACGGGATCACAGGCATTAAGGCTCACTCCTAAAATCTAAAAACACACAACTGCAGTGTGAAGCTTTCCTATGGTCTCCACACAGCAAACATGATAACGCCCTCACACACACACACACTCACTTTGCCTCAGAGTTATTTTAAGTAGATTTGTCCACAAAAAAAGGCATCAATCTAAAAGGAAGTCTTTAATCTCTAGCATTAAAATAAACAGGACTCACAGCTAAATAAAGTGACACTACAAATCACACCACAGATTTCCAGTGATGCTTCTTTTTGTCTTTTACATAATAATTTGTTGAGTTAAAGGAAAAACAGACAAAGACACTCTCAAAGAAGATGTGTTACTCAGGATGCCAACTTTACAAGCACAGTCGAGAAATACATAAACCTATTTCCAGCCTCAGATGGACCATACAATATTATCAAATGTCATCAGATGAAAGCTTGAAAAACATGTCCCCAGCTTTCAGGTCATGATATATAGAGCATCAAAAAGACTCTGTGGGAATACAACAATGCGTGTCACATCGGCGACTCATTGATCTCACAATTATGGGATGAAAGCAACACACAGTCTTTTTTACCACCAGCTGTATTTGGTAAGCACACCCAGACTATTTGTGTGTCGTCAAGAGTTTGTTCCCCAAACACAATGTTCCCCCCCCAAAAATTACAATAAAGTAAGACATCAATACGACAAGAGTGAAATGATTAAAGCTAAGCACAATTAAAGTAATAGATGAGATTCAAATCTAAAAACCAATCACTGATCAAACATCTTTATATTTTTTACAGATGTTGAAATTAGTGGTGTCTCCACAGCTAAACAAGTCAGGAAGGAGGAATGTTAGCAGAGATGAACAGACACTGTGTGTTAAAACCTCCCGTGAAGAGATTAAATTGAACCCTGAATAGTGGAGTTGAATGCAGCTGCTCTCTGCTCACCACCTACTCGCTCTCTTTATAATTCTGTCACTCTCTTCTTCTCTCCCTTAACTGTTGTCTTTATCTTGGTCCCTTCCCCTTTACAGTCTCTGGAACTAATCGCCCTCCTCTTCCTCCTCCACTCGCTTTGTCTCTTCTCCTCATCCTCCACTGCGTCTCCTTTTTGTCCCTACCATCACATTCACGTCTTCCCCTCCCCATCGCCCCCCCTCTAATCTCCCTGTTTTCTCTTTGCTCCTCCTCTTCTACCATCCTCTGCTCTTGTATCTCATTCTCTCCCTTGTCTCCTCTCCTTATTTCCTCCTCCTCCTCCTCCTCCTCCTCCTCCTCCAGCAGAGGTGGGCTGTCAGCGTTGCTATGATAACGGCACAGCGGGAGCATCGGCAGCTCATCCAGTAATTATATCGGTAGAGAATCTACTCTATGTGTGTGTGTGTGTGTGTTTCAGCAACTTTACTGTAAACTGTAAATGCAGTTACTTAGACAGAAGCCTCTTCAGCCAATGTGGTATGATATATACGCAGCATATACCGTCTTCATTTCACAGCCTACACACTGAGGATGATGTAATTCCTCAACTGTTTTCTAAAAAGAGATGCTCAGTAACCACGCAGGGGTCAACAGTTACTACAGTAGGAACTGTTTATGCAGTTCAGTACTATTCAGGTGATTAAGGTGGGAAGAAAATGGGCTTCTCATGGTGGGTGGTTTCACCGATGGCACAAGCCTACATGTGTAATTTTTTCCGCTCTATTGCTGCAGTC